TCATATAGTCTATGATTACAATTTGAATAAATTTCAATTTAAATCTGTCTCTCGTATTAACATACGTGATAATCAATTGTGCTAAACCTTTTAATCGCGGTGAGCTTTGTAGCCAAATCGACCGTTAAATTAAATAGGAATATTTGCGTGTGCATACTTGACGCAAGTTTAAAAGGTTAACGCCGGAAATGTATGTTTTCCTTCTTGCTAAAAAAAAACGCACGGCCATACCGGTGTCACCGGTTTTGAAACGGATTAAACCTGCAATGTACAGCTCTTATGTAGAAGGTTTAGAGATATTTTACTCGCCGGCGTTCATCAGGAAATATTGTTTTTACGTAATTATTATACTATGTGTATATCGAAAACCGCTCTCCTCGCTCGGGGGATAACGTCTAACGAGCCCTGTAGCGATGGTTTAAGGTTATACAGGTTCAACATAACATTATACTTGCCCGCCGAAAGTGGTATGCCTACAGCAGCAATATTGTGGTCGTCAATCACAGAATATTAAAAATGAAATTAAAAACCGCGGTCAAATATATCGAATTGTAGAAGCTAACGACAGTAACGTCATTAACGTTGTCCACTACAACAATATGAGCTGTGAGATAATATGATATTGTGAATACCGGCTGGGTGGTCAAATAAATGCAAACTTTTGACCGATAGATATCATTTTTGATTATTCGATTATTTCCTAACCGAACGTGATCGGCCGATCGCAATGCAATTAGGTAGGTTTGGAACCGACCTGTCAGAGAAACACCCATAACGTAATATACTAATGATTAATGCGTTTAGCGAATTTCTTTGTTGTCAAAACAAAACCTAAGAATAATAAACATCATTTGTTGTAATATTGTGTCTAATTATTATTATATTCACGTTTATGAACAGCATAACTTAAAGTAAATACTAAATGATAATTTTATTATCTTACCTGTTTTAGAGAAAACAATTTCATACAATCATAGGTGGCCGTTAACACGATTTTTGTTTAACACAAATACAGAATACACACATCTATATCTGATATATTAATCAGTGTCACAAAATATATATAATACTGGATATAATATAATTATGATTATATATCAACTACAGGAGGACGGAAACTTACTATTTATTAAAAATTAAGACTTTAGTATAGGTTTATTTTCACACAATTTTCTATTTAAAACTACTTGTCTATATTTATTAGTAAAATAATGAGGTTTCTTATTAGTAGTTTTCTTCTCTTGACAACACTTATACAGGCGAATTTTTTTATAAATTAATTAAGAATTCTCTAATATTTCAAAACTAAAAACCTTATTTTGGCAAAATATGCTATTTTTCATAATAGTAAATATATTTAAAGCTTGAATTTTCAATTGCATAGCTGTTCATCATATTATAAGTAGGGCGTCTAGTAATAGTATATTTAATTGACTAAGAAATTATAAGGATACATAATATATTATGAACATTACCTAAGAAACAGCGGCAACTGTAATCCAACGAAATATTTATATACATATAGAGTCATCAAGATAGGTTACTTATTAATATAGTTTTGGATTTTTTTTCTGGAAGGTCCATTAAACGCACGAGCTACCTATTAATGAGTATTTTGATTTCATACATGACGTTGTAAGTTGTTATAAGCATATTGCTTATAATATTAAGTAACATATAGGTAGTAGATACAGGTACATATAATTATTATGTAGTTACTAAATCAACTGTCCATTAGATTTTAATGTGCGTGGAATACACTATTTAATAACCTATTATGTATTTATGAAAAAGTTGCAATGTTAAAATATTTACCATGAAATCACATACTTATTGGTTTTATTATTATAAAAAAATTTTTAATTGTATAATGTTTTGTACTTCTACGCCGATCAATCACGACATGACCGCATAATTGCATTTTTATCGCCGTTAAATTTTTTTATTTTTAACACATTGCGCTACTTAAATAGTTATTTAAATAGCGCAATGTGCTTAAATAACTATTACAAAACTATTTTCGATATTCTTACCTACGAAGCATTTAACAAGAAATATATTTTTTAATTACTTATTTAAAAAATGTGTTTTCAATTATTTGTATTATAATATTTAATTTTACGCCATTATTACTTTACACAAGCGTTTTTTTGTATTGGTACAAGTACATTTGAAGGCAATTTCGCCATTTAACTAAATAATACATATAACTTACTAGAAAACAATAAGACTGTCTTCTGACAATTTCAAAGTGAAATAACACGATTTTTGGACAAACCTCACCACGCGTTCTGAATTTTTTTCCTATTTCGTTGACATGCTTATGGAACGGTAGAAGATCTTAATATAACTAATAAATTTGACGTTTTAAAATATATAACAAGAAAAACGTTTTTATTTTTTTATATTTTTGTTTATCTAGATAAGACTCACGTCGGCTGTATTTTTTTATTGTTTTATTTCTTCGCCCTACAAGTTAGCATGAACCCAAAGGACTGTTTCGTTACAAAATATTTTGTCCGGGTGTTTAAAAAAAAAACAAGTAACTAAGAAATACTGCGGGAGTTTAAATAAAATCAAGACGAACACCTTTTTGCTGCTTTCTGCATGATGGCTTTTAAATAAAAAATAAAAAATTTCTCCGGTTATAAAAATAAAAAAAAGGTTATAATGATTACATATCGAACAGAAAACAGTTTCTTTTCTTGTAGTAAATCATAATAAAAAATGTATACTAGACAAAATAGACGAAGAGTTATAATAACAGCTTATAACATGGTGTTATGTAATTTAGCAACTGGTATTTATTGGCCAAAATCAAAAAAACTGGTAGTCCTTGTATTTACAACAAAAAAAAATGCTCGTTAAATTTCTCCTTCTGATATTTTATAAGAAGCATTGCGTCGAAACAATTGTATTTTCTTGTAAATAGGTATATAATCCACGTTCAAACATATATAACCGACATGTACACATATTTGTGTATTAAACTTTTGTTGATAATATCAGTAAGCTCGAAATTTGAATCTCTATACGCTATTATTAATACACATATTACCACATGTAACTTTAACCTTTTCACTTATTCACTCACTTTTCCCAAAATTATGTGTTTTATCTAGTCTGTTGCACGTGAAACCCAAAAATAGAAAGCCATTGCACCCGCCTATTATTATATATAAAACTATTTATGTACGATATTCGCACAGGCCACAGACAACCGTTTACAATCCGTTAAATTCAAGAAACGTACATATACCTACCCGATACGGAATACAATAGGAAGATTGTTACGATGTGTGTGTAGGTTACAGATATTAAATAGCTTACAAATGAACCTGCGGCGGCATCCGGTCTCTAATCCCATTTGGTTTCATTTTTTTTTTTCACATTAATTTCGAAAACAACAACAAAAATGTAATATTACAAGCCGGGCAAAACTCCAACACGTGAGAATTGGGCTAAACCGGCGAAAACAATACACGCATAAAATAATCAACCGAATCACACGACTCGGACCTAGGGAAGAACAAGTAGGTACTGAAGTAATAAAAAATATATAGTGAAAACAAAATAGTCTGATGTCTATCTGCATTATACAATATAACAGCAGCGTTGGCGGGCTGGAGGATGGCCAACGACATAAAGAGAGGATAACGTTTACCATTTCTACACACGTCGTATAATTTAAATGTTAATAACCCTCATTGTGTGTGTGTGTGTGTGTGTGAGATATTATTAAGTCCGAGAGGATTACTAGTATAGGGTGCGTAAGGTTGTTGGTATTTCTTTTTGGTGATTTCTATAGGAAACACGAATTAAATAATAAAACAACTTTTCTTCGGCTTTCACTTTTAAGTTACTTGGTTGAAATAACAAAAAAAAAAGGAAAAAAACTAATCTTCAGCACCTACTAAGAAAATTACACGCAACGCGCCAACAATAATTATAGATAAAGTCGTACCCGTTTTGATTATGTTTTGACATTATGAAAATAATGCATTTATTTTTTTGCGTTTGCACGATGTCATTTGTTTTAAATTAGGTGCGAATTTCTAGATAGTTTTCTGAAAAATTTGATGATCGAGAACCCGACAGACTCCAACAGGGAGACAATAAATCATTGTTATACTACTGAGAGAATAATTATACTGTCTGTTGCACAGTCGACGTACTTTTAGTGATCAACGGACTTGCACACAAACGGAAAAAACCAAAACCAACCACGTTAACAGCCGGAAAGTGACGGCTGTCTTTTTGTCGGCCAAGTCCACGACTTGAGTTCGGGTGAAAGACCTAGAGTAGCTATTGAACAACAACGACACAAAAAAAAAAAAAAATATATTATACATGAACATTTTTGACGTCTGTTTCCTCTGTTCTGTTACATTATAATTTTTTGATTTTTTTTTCCTGCTCCGATAATATAAGGGAATTACATGCACATTGATATAATCGACTTAGCATATAATGTATGATTATTCAGCATGTACACGCGGCCGATAGCTTTGAGCTATACGACGTCATAATAATGTGCACAATGGTCGTGTGTGTGTGTTGTTTGTACACGCAGTGAACGTGCGCTTGAAAATTCAGCTTTTATCCTGTAAAATCGTACATGGATTAGTTACGGTCTTGTCACGGTCTCCCGTGTGATAAGTGATCTACCGTGTTGCCGATAGGTGGTCCAAAATACGATCGAGTAGTAGCCACTATATTATTATGACTTTTAGTATATTATACGAGTTACTGTCGTTATGCAAACGTTTTTTTTTTCTTATTGAATGATAAAAAACAATAATCATAACGCGACCGAGACGTGTGTGTCGGCCGGGACGTGTTGGACGAATATTGCAATTCAGCCAACGTATCCGACATCCGTTATAATAATAATAAAAAAAAAAATAATGACAATTTTAAATTGTTTGTGTTAGTGAAGAATACAATAGAATACAATAGTATGCAAGTTATGACAAGCGGGGTATGTTTTTTTGTTTCAGATGCAATTTTCGAGATGGCTGTTGGTGCTCGGGTCGATCATCGTGGCCGATGCAGACCGTAAGTACACAAAAAACTGATAAAACCCATTACGCGCCACTCGTGTCGCACGTCCAGGTTTTTGTTGTTGACCGAAATTCGCAATAGCCTCATTATTCGGTGCTGTCGACAAAAAAAAAAAAATCACCGTAGGAACAGCTTCTCCGTTTATTATCTAACAGCCGTTAAGGGATAATGATAACGTACGGCGTAATAACTTCACTCTAAATCGCCGGATTAATTCGTCAAATTTCACTTTTTACCATATGCTGATTTGACCACCCTCCCCAGACAACCTTTTACGGTATACTAATGATAATGGGAGTCGATAAAATAAACCACAATGAATTTGTATTTATTGTAACAATTCGACATTCATATAACGCTCGACTATCAGTCTGTTAACAGCTTTCTAAATTGTAATATGTATACTGAAACATAACAATCTTCTTCTTACAAATATTAGGAAATTGGATAAAACGCATAGCGTCCAAGTCACAAATGTAAAACAGTAATACCTACACACTAGATAATTAAAATTTTTAAAATTTTTATTAATTCTTTAAAATAGCATTTTACCTCAGCTTCGGTGAAAAGGTTAGAAGGCATTGGTTTCACAATTATGTGCTTTTTTTTTTTTAGTTTCTATCCACGATACACGTAGACAACGGTTTTAACCACTTGCCCGATTATTTCATGTAAACTCAGTCTTTAGACCAGATATTTGACTATGATTTTATTAAAACTAAAAATAAAAAATTTTATCTGTTAAAAAAAAAAACTTAAGCTTTTAAGGCTTAGAACCCTAAGTTAATAAAACCAAAATATAAACAATAATATACTACTAATAAAAACTGTAGAGTGATAGAGGTATGCCATAGATATCACAGGCCAACAATTTTTGATAAGCACATGTCTTATATGTAGCTCATATAGCACATGTCTTTTGCATGACGCGTTTAACACGAGGGGAAGATGAGTGGTATGGGAGTGGTTGAGCGAAAAGGGAAAAATGATTATCCCTGAAAAACTGATAAGAGACCGAAAATCAGCTGACTATAAATGCATTTTTTTAATACAATATAATATTATAGGCTTTCAAGAGTAAACATAAACCCTACAGGTTATCTGTATGCTGCTTGTGTATTTTATCGCATGTCTTGAAAAAAATACAAACAACTAAGTTCAACGGTCTTCTGAGGCCTTGTAGTTGAATTGATATTATCTGCGTTTCACGTAATTTTTGCATCACGTTCGCATAGGAAACAATATAGCCTTGTCTCGTCTATTAGTATTGTAATACCAAACAAAAACAATGTGCTACCAAAAAAAAATTTCCAAAACGATTTAACTACTTATAAATAATTCATGCCGATCGCCGTTCGCCTGGCAATTCTCAAGTCATAAGTCATAACTATTGCAACGTGAGATAACAGTCACGTCATTTTTGTTCGGAGGGCTGCTCTTTTGTAGTCGTAACGCACCACAAGGCACGCTCTAACCACGCGCTTAGGCCGAAACGTTTAGGGGCTAAGCTAACGTATTAGTTGATCATTTTCAGATGATATCCAAAAAAGAGGCACGTCAAATCAAAAGAAAGTAGTTTGCTATTACACCAACTGGAGCGTGTATAGACCCGGCACGGCCAAGTTTTCTCCTCAAAATATTAATCCGTACTTATGTACACATTTAATATACGCGTTCGGTGGGTTAGACAAGGAAAATGGCCTGAAACCATACGACAAGTACCAAGACATCGAACAAGGTAAAAACGCGTTTAAACATATTGTTTACAATTAATCAAATCTAAAAGAACACTGTCGTTTTTATTTTAAACAGGCGGCTATGCAAAGTTCAACGGACTAAAAACGTACAACAAGAATCTCAAGACGCTATTGGCCATAGGAGGATGGAATGAAGGATCGACGAGATTCTCTAAACTGGTGGCCGACGAAGATAGAAGAAAAGAATTTGTTAAAAACGTAGTCAAATTTCTGAGACAAAATAATTTTGACGGACTCGATCTGGACTGGGAGTATCCCTCTTTCAGAGACGGTAGTAATCCCAGCGATAAAGAAAACTACGCTTCTTTGGTGAAGGTATGTCATTCATTTTAACTATGTAATTCATCACAACAGTCAAGATATGCATTTGACGATATAAAAATAACCACAGGAATTGCGGGAAGAGTTCAATAGGGAATCATCAAAGACCGGTCGGTCCAGGCTGCTTCTTACAATGGCCGTTCCGGCTGGTATTGAGTACATCGACAAAGGATATGACGTGCCACAGTTGAACAAGTAATACAGCAAGTTTAAGATCTAATATTATTCCGACAACTCTTAACATAAATATTTTCTTTTAGATACTTGGACTTTATGAACTTGTTAACTTACGACTACCATTCAGCGTATGAACCGGCAGTCAATCATCATTCTCCACTGTTTCCTTTGGAAGAGGATTCCGAGTATAACTTTGATGCAAAACTCAATATTGTAAGTTTACTTTTAACAGTGCTATGATTGTTTTCGTGTACTCTGTTGGCTTATCAGTGAAAATATTTGAATCTCTTTTTTTACAAACTTTAGGACCATACGATAAAACACTATCTGGACTCGGGAGCAGATAAAGATAAATTAGTTTTGGGTATTCCGACTTACGGTAGATCGTACACACTTTTCAATAAAGAGAGCACGGGCATAGGAGCTCCGTCTGATGGACCTGGCGAAAAAGGAGAAGCTACTAGAGAAAAAGGATACTTAGCGTACTACGAGGTAAAACGAAATTGTTATACATATTTTCGGTATTTAATTAAAACCACTTTAGATTTGCGGTAATCTAAAAAAAGATGACAAGTGGACGGTTGAACAACCGAAGCCCAGAGCGATGGGTCCCTACGCGTTCAAAGATAACCAGTGGGTTGGATATGATGACGAGGAGTTTGTCAAACTTAAAGTAAACAATAGTACAATATAACTGTATAATTATACGTATTGGATGTAATGTATATATTGTGTTTAATAGGCAAAATATGCGAATGAAAACGATTTGGGGGGCATCATGTTTTGGTCTATCGATAATGATGATTTCAGAGGAAGTTGTCACAAACGACCGTATCCCTTGATTGAAGCGGGAAAGGCGGCTTTATTGGGGTATAATAGTATAAAAAAAAACTCCCAAATAATCTCCATAATAATATCTCATAAATTTGTAGAGATTCGAAAGTCGAGTCGAGTCAAAATAAAGAAACAAAAAGTACAATTAAACCTAGAACAAAACCAAGGCCTATATCAAGAACTTCAACTACTGAATCCGAAGAAATATTATCTGTATCAACAACTACACCTGAACCACCCACAACACCCGACTCCGGAACTGGTAATAAATAGGGTTGAATATGTTTTAAACATTTTTTTTTTGTTGGTTTTTAAAAATGAAATCCAACAAGAAAGACCAACAAAAAACCAAATGTTTAAAACAATAATAATTATTAAATATATTTAGTCATTAAATAGCTACACGATGGTGCCATTTCATATTTGATGTTTTTTTTTTAAGATTTCACTTGTAAAGACGAAGGTTTCTTCCCACATCCACGAGAATGCAAGAAATACTTTTGGTGTTTAGACAGTGGTCCGTCTAACTTGGGTATCGTGGCCCATCAATTCACATGCCCTTCGGGATTGGTGTTTAACAAAATTTCAGATTCTTGTGATTATAGTAGAAATGTAGTCTGTAAAGACAAGAAAACTACTTCAGACGTAACTACTACGTCCACCACTACACCCAAGCCAATTAAATCTGGACTGAAAACGACTACTACGACCACTACAACCACGACAACTACACAAGTCCCGGAAATTGAAGAAGAAGTAGACAGTGAATTTGAAGAAGAAGACCCAAAAGAAATTAAACAACTTATCACGTTGATTAAAAAATTAGGTAAAACCAAATATTTTTTCAACAAATTTTAATCATTTTTTTAAAAAATCTATATTTTTAGGTGGTGTGGCTGAACTAGAAAAACAACTAAGTCTTAAAGAAGGAGGAGCAACCGAAGTAACAACACCGGCAATAAGCAAATCATTGTACAACAAAGTTATAAAAAGACCATCCAATAGGTAATTTTAAAATAAAAATTTATAACTTAAATAATAACACATATACTTACTTTTAAATTGTAATGTTTAGGTTCCAGTCCACCTACATTAATGGTCCTGGTCCACAAAGCGAAGGATTGGATACTAAAGACGATAGTCCTGATTATAAAAAAGATAAACCACAATATGTGACGATTAGAAGACAAAGGTAGTTTTACACAAAATGTTAAAATAAAACAATTGACAAAAATGAAATGTAATTATTGATTTCGATTACTGTTTTAGACCACCCAAAGATATTACTGAAAATAGTAGAGATTTAGACAACGTCGACTCTGATTCTGAATCATCGACAGAACAATCAAAATTATCCTATAAAACAGTGCAGAGAACAAGGTACCGTGATTTGGGAGAACCATCGGACGAAAACGCAGAAATTGATTCATTGCCCAAGTATACCACTTTAAGTCGAACCAGATCCACGGAAAGTGAACAAGAAGAAACAACTAGTCCAAAATACGTTACCATACGAAGACCAAAACCTTCAGGTGTTAGGGAAGAAGACATAAATGACGAAGATATTTCTTCTGTTTCCTCTGTTTCTCCCGCTTTACCCACATCGTCAAGGTACAAGTGAAATTCGTTTAAATTCCATTAATATAATGATATTATATATATATATATATTATACAGATATGTCATCCTACTATAAAGTTTACAGCGCCTTTCTATAATTACCTCTCTTGAATGTCTAAAGTATTTCAATAGTAGGATGCCCTATATGTATATTATAAAAATCAATGCTATTATAGACAGTCATAACCGAAATTCATCATAATATTAACGACTTAATATGTAGGTACGTTTCGTTAACGAGACAAAGGAGCACTACGACTACCGCGGGTACGCCTGAAGATAGAGTAATCGAGGTGACGACAAAAGAGGACGTCGAAGAAATCAGAGAAACCAGTACTCCTAAGGTGAGTCAAGAAACTTTAACCCCCGAGCCTAGTATGATTAGCACCAAATTGCCTATCACGACACTATTTACCGAGACGGACCCTTCGTCTATAATACATGATTCCACGTCTACACCATCAGATATTCCTGAAACCGTTTTTACTGCTAGAGCTCCTGCCCCTACGTCTGCAAAGTCGAGCATCCCCACAACTGTTAATACCACTAGAGCTCCGACTTCTACAATTACCAATGTTATTACTTCGATCTACGAAGCCGCGACCGAAAGACAGCGCGTTCGCGTTAAAAACATACAAAACTTTTTATCCGAACACAAAAAAACCGAAACGGGAAAACCCAGCACGGAAGTCAATGCTTCACTTAATGCGACTCCTCTGTCCCAAACGGTCGAATACACTACGAGGACAGAAGAACCCACTCCAAAATCGATACTCAAGGGTCGTTACAGGAGTCAAACGCACCTCAGACCCGTTCTAAGAAAGCCGACTGAGCCGAATGATAGGAGCACGTCGACGACAGAAATATTTATCGAAACGACCACCGATAAAAGAAGTCGGTTGAACAGGTACCCTAATCGTTTCGTTAAATCTGGCCAAAACAAACCCGAAGAGACGAGTACCACCAGTAAACGATTCGTCAGACCTACTAGCGATAGCACTTTAGACGCGACTACGCGAAAATTCAATAGGTTTAGGTCGACTACTCCGTCTAGTGAAACTTCAAGTACCGGTGCCGCCTATTCAACGAAAAGGACCGGATCCAGGTTCAGACTAGGTACGACAACTGAATCAACGTCGTCGACGAGCACAGCTGAAATACAAAAAACCCGATTCTTTAGATCCCGTACACCGATTTTCATACCGTCGTCTACCGCAACAACCGAAGCGTCTTTCGAGCGAGACACTTTGACCGTGGAAGAAAACGTCGATAACGTTCGCTATGACACGTGGAAATCGGCTCCGACCACGTTCAACTACGTCTCGACCACCGACAAAACTTTCGAAGAGCTATCCGCGGATAACGGAGAATTCCGGATATTTACCACCACCGATGGTTTCGATCCTGCCGACGAGACGGCAAATGAAATCACGACCGTAACACCCACGACCACCGCTAGAAGTAAACAAGTGTTCAGAGGTTCTTTGAGAACCGATAACAAAGCCGCCGAGGACTACGATTCCCGAGAGGTATCCAGACCCAGATCGTCCGGCCGGCAGAACACTAGATTCTTAAAAGACGATCAAAAGATATTTTTCATAAGAGTCATGCCGGCTCCGGGAGCGAGATCTCAAAACGAATTCACATCGGTTCCGGCCAAAAACGTGACCAGAAACCGGGGACGGGTCAGGGCGTACGATTCGTTGGAGCTCAACACCTTGTCGGACGGGCTAACGAACGAAGACAGGCCTCGAGAGTTGTTCAAAGGAAGCGAAACGAAATTCGACGCTCGGCAGCCTGTCGCCGAGAACTCATCGGCAGAGGTATGAATGATTTTATACCGTAACCAGTTAAAAAAACGACTAAAACGAATCAACGGGCGCATGTGAGAAAAGCTACTACTAATTATATTGTATTACATTAACAAGGGCGAATCTCGAAGGCGGACGACCGATGAGTGCTGCATGGTAATTTAAACATCGGAGATATCGTGGCTTAGCAAGAACCAACCGCGTTGACAAATATAAGTCGCCGCACATTTATTGCATGATTACATAATTAAAAGACATATCCGCCGCGAATGACATGACCGTGTGCTACGCATCCGCATTGCATCCCAAGCTTCCCGTCCACTAATCTTTAGAAACGCTAACATACATTTTTTCATAATAATATTGTAATGTTTACATTGTCATCGGTTGTATACTTATACGAGTTACCCGTGGTCGTCGGTAAGTTGTAATTTATTTTGTTTTAAAGATCCGCAGGGACAGAAATCGCAGTAGAGGTACGAGACCCGTCCAGCGTACGACCACTCCTATTGAAGAATCAACGCCGACCACAGAATCGTACTCGGCAAAAGTTCACAGAAGAAGGAAATTTAGACCAGAATACACAACCACAGAATTGCCGGCGAGTAACGAAGAAGGTAAAATTGGTATTTTTACCTTCATTTCATTCAAAACCAGAAAACGTCCCCTGCATTTTTATCCTTATTAGTAACACCTGTTATATTTAATATATCTGTCATGTTACATTCTTTTGGCTTTTCACAATTCCTGTAAAGTGATGTACGACATTTTTCTCCGAATTAACCGAGTCGCTGGTTTGTCCTTAGAACTGACTACACCCCGGTCTCGAAGACCCGAACAACGAAGGATTAAAAGCAGAACTTCAACATTGAAGAGCGTCATTACGACCAGCACGACTCCTGAGACTTTGGCAGAAGATAGCAATGTTGGTGAATTCTTAGGCTCGTCAGCACAGCCATATTTTGACGATTCCAGTTTCTTTAGCAAAACAAGAGATGATCGCAAAATCGGCGGGTCCGTCGAAGATCTTGCTAACACTGCCGTCGTCGCCATTCACACGCTTGCCACAGCGCCGCCATCTACTGCCGTATTCAGTAAGTAGTTACCAATGAGTAAAGTTTGTACTTTGTAATAATGGAAATCTTACAAACAACCCATAAACATACATAAATGTAAAAAAAATACCCTAAAATATGTAGAATTAATAACTAACTACATTTATATTTGGAAAAATTTAAATAACATATAAAAATTATTTAATTACATTTTCTAAAATATGTTTTATTTAGATAGAAGTTAAATAATAAAATTAAATAATGTTTCATTTCAAACAATAGGTCATATTTTGAATCAGGCAAATAAAGATATATTTTTAAAATGTAATATTATTTGAAATAGTAAATAAAAAATGTATATTAAATATTATCTCATGATTAGATTCATGTAAGCATTTTATGATGGCAACGTTGAGCCTTCAAGGTCTATTAAGCTACATGATGAAATCATTATTTTTGCACAAATTGTTTGTTATTTAAAAAAAAATTCTGGTCTGGCTCCATAAAAATGTACAACAAAATAGGTTATATTTTGTGTATTAATAGAATATAGATACAAACTGTATTAAAATTAATTAGCAACAAGATTCAACCTTTCTTTCCCAATACCCAAAATATATAAGTATAAATATAAAATATAAAATTAGAGTTTTTACATTTTATTTTTTAGAAAAGCATAAACAAATGTCGATAGTTATATAATATTATTGAGTATAAATTTTATAAAGTATAAAGTGAACAATTGACTAAAATGAAATGTAAAAAAATACCTAATAAGAAAAATAATTTTTTTTTAATTTAGTTTTTCGAGTATAGGTACATCTATCAAGTCAAATGTCAAAAACAACAAATTATTTTTTTTAATGTCGAGCAAAGCTTAATTTTGGTCCATGTATTGAAACGAATGACAATTAAACAGTGTGATTTAATTGTGTGTTTAGGGCCTTCGACGAGCAGTCCTCAGCAAAATCTGTTCCGGGAACCAACTCGTCAAGAATTCTTCGAGCCGCGATTGCCCCACGTCAAGGACTCGACGTTCGATAACAGCCAGTCCGTGAGAACACTACAACAACAACAGCCGCAACCGCCAGCTATTAAATTACCGGAATCGTTCCAATCCAACCCACCCAACCCGTTCCAATCGGAAATTTCTGGCCCGTTCCAACCGTCTCCGTTCCAGTCGGGTCCGTTCCATCCCATTCCATTTGCGTCCGTCCCATTCCAACCGCCGCCGCCACCACCACCACCTCCGTTCGTCCAGCAACCGCAACCGACCACCGCGTTGCCGGCCACATCACGACAGACGTTCTTGCTGCGTCGAGGACCCTCGAGGACCACACCACTGGCCGCGCCCACGACTACTACTCCGCGTCCGTTGCGGCCGGTACAGCCCGTACAGTTCCTCAACGACAACGCCAACCAAGAGCAGTACGCTGATTATTCGGAACACTCGAACTCCGGCGAGCGGGTGGCGCTCAAGGGAAAGGTGCGCATACACGGCGACGGGTACATAGAGTGTCTGGATATGGGCAGCTTTCCGCACCCGTATTCATGCCAAAAATTCATATCGTGCGCCAAAACCGAATACGGCTCGCTAATAGGATGGGAGTACACGTGTCCCAAGGGGCTGTCGTTCGACCCGGTTGGCGGCATTTGTAACTGGTCCAACGGATGCAATAACTAACGACCGAATTTTGAGAACAACGACAAACATATATTACACAATGTTTATAATAATTAACAATACAAATGTAAAATCACAAATTCCTAGTCTTCCTCGAAGTGAATTAATTATTATTGTAATGTGCAATATTTGGATTATTGTATCCTTCAGTTGAACATTCTTAAGGCCAGTTAGAGATAGAGAATACAACTCGGATGGAATTACAACATTTTTGTTTTATTCGTAGGTACTGTCGATATCAAAATAGTGTATCTAGGCATTGTAGTTTCATTCGATTTGTTTTGTACACATCTAAGAGTAGGTAATGATAAAAAAAAATATATTATATTTTAGTAATTTAAGAATAAATATTTGTAAGATATTTGTATAGTAATTTGTATTTATTTTTTTATGAGAACCCTTATTTTTTTTATACAGCTACTGCGAGTGTTTTAACATTCAACATATACCACAACTTTCTACTAAATTTTATCAATATTTTGAAAATATATAGTTTTTTAATTACATAATTTAATTTTGTGACTATGATACATTTTTATAATTTTTTTGTTACATTTTTTTTAATGTGTTATTCTAAAAAATCTATTGTTATTATTTTAAAAAATAGTGGTCATTAGCAGTGGACCAAATTTTATTATAGCAATGTCTCATACATACTTTTTTACTATCATAAATATAATATTATCTTTTGTATAAATTTGAAAGTTTCTTTGCATCTATGTTTGCTATTAATAGAAATAAACAGCTTTCGCGCAATAAAAGTTTTTGTTGTGATTCAGTCATCTTGGTATATTGAACTATGTGACATAGTTCATATAAACATGTGTTATTCAATGAACTAGTCTTGGCTCTAATATATGGTTGCCACCAGCGAAATTATTAATATTATTTTTAATGGCTTTTTTCCCGAATTTAACCGATTTCCTAATTGGGGGAGAGTTAATTGTTGATGTGTCGTCTTGGGGTTCGGGGTCATACTTCGGATCTTCGCCGTAGCATTAAAAAATAATATAAAAAAGTATGTCAACGCTTGACATAAAGTGCAAAGAATATACCGTTTTTTGTATGATACATGATAACGACTAAAAAATTACCGGGACAACCAAACTTAAACTAAATGTTTATTGGCTAATAAAATTATAAAAACATTTCTTTTTTAAAGGCACGTAAATAAGTATACCGTATAAGAGGCAATATCTGTGTATTCTCCAATAACTAATAAATAATAACTTTTGAACGGAACTCACTAAATTAAGTATTAATGACCTTAATTTTCACTTGCAGCCTTAAGCCGATTTATGAAGCTAGTAATAAATATTTTTTACCTATAACTATAGCCGTTGCGTTGAATAACAGCTTATGAAACACGTGCATTTTCACAAGGTCGGTTTGAGGCATTCATAAACATTTGACCCTAGTGAATCGTGGGCTACAATTTTCAGAACATATCAGTAAAGAACAATATCTACCCTTCTTATCCCCTGCAACGATATTAGTTATAAAGTATTTGCAATTTTGGAAATTTTTGTCATTTAGAAAACATTGTTTTTCTCGATTTTGAAGGGGAAGGGGAAAACTTATTAAATGTTTGACCCAATAAAGTAGGTACGATTTATGATCATAACTTACTTAAAACAATTTTTTTTTTGAGTTTATTATTACAAAACAAACTGTGTTTACACGTGGTCATGTCTTAACGATAACTTAGTCAATATAATAAAAAAATGTAAAACCCAAGACGTAATAATTTGTGTAATAGTTTTTTGAATTTTTTTTAGGCAATCCATTTATAATTATATTGTATTAGCATATTGTGTTGTTTTTAAATTAATTATTTATTGTTTTTAATTAAATTAAATAATAAATAATTATTTATAAGTTCAAACTGTGTTTATCTGCACGGCAAATTGTGTTAGATTCTCGTTCGGCCTTTAGTGTGGACGCGCCTTAAGTTGAAGATTTACAATTTTTTTTTTTTTTGGTTTGGTGGATATTCGAGGTTGAGTGTAATAAATTAGAACACACGCGAGACGTGCAGCTCTGCCTATGGAACGGTGCGGCGCGGCGCGGCGGCGTTGAGGAAAATAGAAACGACGTCGGTCTGCTGTGGCCCTGGTCGTTCGTCGAGGCCGTGATTAACATTTTCGGCCAAGTCCGCCAATCGTTAATAACAGAATAAAATAATTTCGTATTAACATTACGGCAAAGTATCCGAATACATTTTCGTATCGCTGCGAAACCGTCACATGAGACCCTAATAACGTTGAATCTCGTTACTACTACAACCCTCGGTATGCGTGCGCGAACATCGCCGTACACAACGAGCATGTATGTGTATGTAGTATGCAAAATACATAGTATAGGAAAAAACAGTTTTAAAAAAAAAATTATATACTTTCACGGGCCACGTTACGTCAGGCCGATTCGTTTTTGGGACGATCGAAATTTATTTGTAACGAAAATCGGTGTCTTCTTTGTACATGACAAACGACGCGAACAACAATGAAACAATAATTTAATATATTTTGCTTATTGCCAAGCCGCTGCGCGGCGCTACGTCCGACGGTCGACCGCGGCGGCTCGGCGTGATTGTCGGCGACGGTGGATTCGATAGTCGTCGGTAACAGGAGCCCATGCGACCGAGACCCCGAGACGCCCGATGCCGCGGCGAGCCGTGCCAAAAGTCCGCATTGGACGGCGGCCGCGTGCCGTCCGCATAGGGTCCTGATACCGTGCCGCATTGCCTACGCCATCGCCAAGCTGATCGACGGCAAAACTTGCCCCGCTCCTCTCCGGAATAGGCAACCGCCACGACGCACTGTGCCCACCGCACCGCCGCCGCGCCGTCGACAGTGGCTGGTGGCAGTAAAACGGCACACACCGCCGCAAGCGCTTTACACGTTGGGTTACACCGTACTCAACCGTGCGGTTGTACACATTTTCATCGTTATTGTGCCTTTTTCTCGATTTCGGAAGGGAATCGTTAAAGTTTTAAGGGTACGATTTCCGGTGTATAGACTTGCTTTATGATAAAATCGCCGTTCGGACCGTTTGTTAAAATATATTGAGGGCCCAGACACTAAAATAAAACATTAAAAACAAATCGTTGTAAAATTAATACCTCCTCATCCCCTCAGCCTCAGCCATAGGATATGTACCTATCGAATAATACTTGCATACAAACGTCAAACATTACAATTGTTATATATTTTTGATAATTTGTTTTTTTTTTTAATTGCCGAGCATACCTCGAAAATAATTAACCATACAATCGCTTTACATCTATTCAAAATTATTATGCCAAAAATCAGCATTTCATAAAAAAAAATCCGTTACTTATTTAGATATCTTAAAAGATGTTTAAACGACAACCTACACAATACTATCAATAAAATAATGTTCTAATATAAACAATGACGGGTCGATAAAAAGTATTAACTAATTATTTTGTAAGTTAAAAATGTTTTAAATGCGTCGTGACTCTGTTAAAGCGCGGGTCTGCGGTGCGCTTAAAAATAGATGACATTTTACGTTCAACTTCTCCTCCTACCTCAATTATTAATTAAAAGCTTTAATCTTGAAAATAATTAGCCAGTCATTTTATTAGAACATTACTTTTATTGTGTCATAGACATGTAACCTACATTTATAAATTAAAAATTGATAGTAAAATAAATAACTTAAGGGATGGTTTTAAAAAAACATTTTTGTTTGTATGTGTACAGGAATCAGGCTAACACAATAATATTCCGCTACGGTAAGTAACCAGCCACTAAATAATAAGAAATAATGCAATTACAACAGCTTTTCTTTGTATCAATATCAAAAAGGCACGTTTTCTTCAAAAAACCCGCCTTGCGCGGATTAATTTTACAAAGGCTGTAATCAAAACTAAGAAACCAAATGTTCACATAATATAGACAACAACATTGTCTGTGTTCTACCATCGCCTTTTTTTTAAAAATATTTCAACCAGTTAATGAATAATTAATTAATTAAGAAAGGACTATTTTGACTTTTTTAAAAATGATATAGCGTTGGTTGTATTAGGTATACCGAAAAAATACGGATGATGGAACACAGATGATTTTGTCATAAATAATACGTATGCATTTCTTTCCTTAACTATGTATTAAGCCTGAGAAAAATTAATCCGCGTAAAACTCAACTCAACAGAATTTTTTTTTAAATCGCTGTCAAGGATGCTGTGATAGTCCGAAAAATAATTTAACTACTAAAAAGAGTCCTAACTACTGAACTCTTAGTTACACATCAAAAATTAACCTTTAAGTTAAGATTGTGTAAAAAATTACCTATACTTTACTCCTTAAAAATGGGTGGTGTGGTGTTTCTTAACACATTTCCATTTCAGCAGAGGATATACCGTTTTCGGTTCTTTTACAAGTATTGTTTTTTTTTATCACTACGTAAAGAAATATAATACTGTTTTGTGAGCATAATTTAAACTACGTTTCATAGAATAATTTAATAATGTAAATATAAATGTTAACGTAAATAAAGAAATACCTTCCTATAAAAAAATCATTAAGTAGCGTTTTTCGGAAGAAAGACTAATACCTATTTTACAACTCGCCATAGGGTTTAAATATTTCAAATAATTCTATGTCTGGCACAGTAGTCTCGAAAAGTTTCTCAATAGTTTCGTCTTTCGACAATTATTGAGTACAACTAATCGCTATTATCATTACAGGTATGTTAATATCGTTTACAATAATCATTACACAACATTATAGTGTCATGAATAGTTTTTAGACTTGTATATGAAAATCGAATGTATTTATTATAGTACGTAATATAATTTATGTGTACAAAAACGACCGTGAATCGCAAGTACGTGAAACTATTTGTTTTTAAATAATTGTATGGCGCGAAATGATTATTGATAATCATGTAAAAATGATTTATATTACAGCATAACCTAACAGTATAATGTATGACGTATACATAGTATACCTACATATACTAACAGATGACATATAACTCACGTTTAATGACATATACCCATGTATTCCATAACAATTATTAATTCAAAAATATTATGTTTCTTGAATAGCTGATAAGTAAATTCGACATAACCAATACATGTATTATATGTCTATGGAAATAACCATTTAACTTATAATCTAAGATAACACAATTCGTGATAAAGAAACAACAAAATACAAATTTTACAAAAACACTGATAATGTGTTAGTGTTATATTATTTTGTTTTTCCAATTTTTCCTTGTGTAAATTAACTATTACTTAAAATGGTTATACCTTTTTAATTATGTACAAATTACATTTTTCTAGCTCAAATATTAACATTTTTGATAAAATTATTTAATTTTTTTTTTGCATAAGTAGATGTTTTATTCACTAATCAGTAATCAAATATATTTTAGCCAGATTTGCTAGTTGAGTAATAACATTTATCTGAGGTAAGATATTCCTAAATATTTTATAAGGTAGTTTAATTTTTCATTATCATTCTGTTGTACCAGTAATTAGTATTTTGTTGTGATTTACCTTATAATTGCGATTGTGGTAATTCTTTTGAAATTATTAATAAAACTAAAAACTAACTATAGTATTATAAATACTATAGTATATAAGACTAGGTGGTAAAATATTTTATATTACATTTGTGTTATTAAAAATATGCGTCTATAGTAAATCTAGGTATAACATTGATTTACATTTACAATTATTTAAGACGATTCCCGTTTAATTGTATATTATCGACAGCAAGAATCACAGTTTTTACCACTATCATGATTATTTACATTAAATTCTTATAACTTAGATTTTTTTTTTAATAAATTTATTTGAAATCTTATGAACTGTTTCCACATTCCTTGTCTAAACACTTAAATTTACAAAAACAAAAAATAGCTTTGTTTTTGTGCTCCTCACACTTTTTTCTAATACTAATTTGTATGTTTTTATATATTTAAATAAAATTAATTACAATGAGTAATTTGTACTTTTGTCAAAATGTAATAGCTCTAATAGTTCACTAAGTTAATACTTGCAATTGTTACATATAAACTACAAGTAGTTGCCTTCTACTTTTGTCATTTGGGTTATGCTAATAACTAGTTAAATAAATAAGTGTTTTCGAGGGTACACAATTAGGTTTTATGAGTTTTTCATTCTAATGTCAATATACTGAACAAATAACAATTACTAAGGAAGCCACATAAATTTTCATTTCTAGAGGGTCGGTGTAGATTCAAATACTCTTTCGTTATATTCTTTAGTTGGTATCAGCTCAGTTGTGTGAACAATTCGTTGAAGTTTTTGTTTAAAATTGCTTTCTTTTGTTGTAGTTATGAATATTGGAAGCAGATTCTTATTAATATGGATTTACTACTTTTGTACAATAACGGTTCACTGTAATGAGCTAGCGTCTTGTTATACTGAACCGCCAGAACTATGTCCAATCACCACAGCACCGTGTAAATGCACACAAATTGAAGCATCTTCAGTTTTTTGCTGCCGCGTTCGGTCTAATGATGATCTGTTACAGAACTTGGGATGTTCAAGTAATAATAATATTCATGTTATAATAATAATGTTCATATCAATTTAATGAGAACACTTATGTATGGTGTAATTTTAGGTGTAAAAACGGGTGCAATCAAAGCGCTACACATCTACAACATGACTGCCGAGCGTTTTGATTTTGGACAATTTTCTTTTCATTTAAACAATTTAATATCATTGTCCATAACGAGTAGTTATGTAAATAGATTACTTGGTCGTTTAGAGCATACACATCAGATTGCTTGTCTGAACTTTTCTAACAATGCTTTCGGAACTGAATGGCAAGATCCATTAGCGCTGGAACAACTTAAACTTTTGGCCATGTTAGATTTTTCACGTACAAATATATCAACACTGCCTGTTATCAAAAATGAAGTGACGAAGTTTTGGATCGATATATCAAGTATTAATTCTAAGGCTCATTTCACACCTACGCGTGTGATATGAAAAAACATGCTGTGATACGAGCCTAAATGTGATTTTTCTGCAATTAAAAATAGAATATTATATATTTTGTATATTTTAGATAACAACAATACTAATTGTGACAGTTTATTGGAGCTTATGGGACGTTCAAAAAATGATGAGAGCAAACAACTTTTATTTAAAAATTCAAATGATACATTTTGTATGGCTCCCCGGTCATTTCATTGGTTTAATTCTACAGAAATATTGGCTTATGACCAAATTAAAATAATTGATAAGGTATTTACCTCTTAATGTTTCGTACATATTATTCTTTACAACAATTAATATTTAGTTTATTTATGTGCTTTTCAACTGTATGGGTTTTTTTTTATAGATAAATACTCAATGTCCCAATAACTGTAAATGTAAAGCACTTGGTATGGACATGGTTTCAAACAGAAATGTACTGCATACAGTTGAAGTAGATTGTTCAAATAATAAACTATCAAATTTACCAAAGAGTTTACCTGAAAATACAGTAAAATTGGATGTTACCAATAACAATGTAATAATACTTTTTTTTATAAATTTATTTTTATTTTTATTATGGTGAAATAAACATCACAATGTGTTTAAAAGTTTTAGAAATACAAATAAACCTAAAAAATATGTGAAATTAGAGTTGTACTAAATTTAAACTTGCTGAAATGTTCAACTTCAATGTTTCTTAACACAGTATGTTTAATTATACACCCTTTTTTTGAGCTCAGGTCTCAACCTGAGAGTTTTGATTGTTTGCTCGGCAAACGGAGCGCCTGTGACCGAGTGTTGAACCAGCGACAGTGAGTGCTAACACACTGCCGCCTTACCCACTCGGCCACTTCTCCTCTTTATTAAATTTAATAATTGATAAAAAAATCGAATAAAAATATTTTTACCATTTTATTTTACAGATAACTGATATAGATGAATTAGTATTGGATGCTTACAAAGATTTAAGATTTTTCTATGCTGATCATAATAAAATATCAAACATTTTGCCATTAGAAGGTTCACGGTTTTTGTCTAATTTTGCTATTTTGAGTTTAAAACATAACCAATTAAAATCGGTAAATTATATTTCCTAGAATTATTAAATTTAAAAAAAATTACTACTCATAATTTATTTTTTATAGATACCAATGTATGTTTTTGATTATTCGTTTGACAGAGAATTTGATGGACACATTCTCAATTTAGGCGGTAATCAACTTCAATGTGATTGCAGTACTGCACAAACATTTAAAGTGAGATTTTGTAAAATTAGTTGTTTATATACTAATCCTATTTAGCTAAAGATGAAATAATTTAGTTTAGGTAATCAAAGCATTCTTATCTCCGCTACACTCATTCTCTATCATTTTCCTGTACCTATGCAGCACAGTCAATCTTACTACACTCTTGTTGAACTTACCTTTAAGTCTTATTGGAATTCTCTTGTCACATAAAATACCTGACGCTTTGCTCCACTTGATCCAACCATAATTAATCCTATTAAGTAAGGATATTTCACATCCTCATCAAAGCCATTGTTCTCAATACTAAAAACTCTTAACCTTGCTTAACTTTATTGTCATTACTCGTTTTGTCCTGCTAACGTCTTATCCTCTTCTTTGGAGGAAGGAACTTAGAAGTTTGGAACTCGTATCCTGTATATTCTACTAATCGTTAGTCCCTTTCCTTCAAGTGCTACTCTCCATTCCTCAAGCCTATTCTTAACTTCTTCTAGATAATTTCCTACCAAAACTATATCATGCACTATGGTACCTCACCCATTATTTCCTTTGTATCTTCATCAATTACAACAGAAAACAGCTAAGGGCTCAAAGCAGAACCCAGGTTTACACCTACTTTAAACCTAAAGTCCTCCATTATTTTACACATTTTTTTGATCATTTGTATTTGAATCTTCATACATATGCTCTATCAAACTTATATGCTCATTAACACCTACTTCAAAACCTCTCTCAGAACTCTGCCATATGCTTTCTCTAAATCTATTAAAATGAGTTTATTTCTAAGTTTATATATTATAACAATTTGGAAAATCAATTTTATTGTATCCATCTTTAAAAATATTCCTATATAAATTTTCCAGGCTTGGTTGATAAGATACAAACATTATATGCGTGACTTCGACGAAGTTTTATGTGAAAAAATTGGTAGAGTGAGTATATTTTTTTACAAAAATATTAACTCTAGTGAAAATTTTAATTTAATGTATTTCTAATTTTAATTTAGGTAATAGACCTGGACCAAAAAATTGTGTGTGTTACCCAAACTGAGTGGACAGACTACATGTATTATATCATTGCTGCCGAAATATCTGCTCTTTTACTACTGATTGGAAAAGTATCCTATGACTATTGGGTATTTAAGACAGCAGGTTATTTACCATGGCCGGCTTCCAAAATGCCTAAGCTTCCTTGTGATTGGGTTTTTGAATAAATAACTCTGTACGTTTTCTGAAAATATAACCGCTATAACTATAAAAAGACTGTTGAAGAGCTAAAAATGTATAAACAAATATTATTAAGTTACCATTGTGCCTTAAAAAATATATATGCATGGACTTTTATTATTGTTAATAATTTATCAGTTAATTTATACATTTGCTAGGAAAGCACTTAAATATAAACATATTTTATTATCTATATAATGTTATATGATATTTAAGTTGTAAAAAGAAATTTCATTAAAAAAAAATGTAATATGTTTTTACGTTTAGTGGATATAAGCTAACACTAAATTGATATGCTGTTATAAATATTTTAAAATTGGCGCTATATTCAGATCTTATATTCTGTTAATTATTAATTTTAGGGCTGTGATTTTTAATTTGTTCATTATTATATTTTGTTATTGTTAAAATAGTTTTATGTTTAATTTTTTTGTTTTTTTGCTGAGATAAGTACAGCATATATATAGGAAATATATCTGAAACGTTAAAATGTTGAACGAGTTTATTGATGATATCCATAATTTTGGTATTATATATTATCATAATTTCATGTTTATAATTTTAAAAAAACTTGCCTGTTTTGTTTATGAGCTTGTTGTATTATTCAATCAGAATTATTTCAATTAATCTTTATTAAAAATACCATTATATTTAATTATCATTTGACAAGTTGAATGATATACTTTGTATTTTTAAGATATAATTTTAAATTAAAATTTAAATAACATTCAAGTATAAAATAATTGTATATGGCAAAGAATGTACTTGTATACAACTAAATATGTGCGTTTGTATTGTACTGCATTTTTTTTATATCTAGTGTTAATATTTATTTGCTTGTTTAAAAATAAAATCGTTTAAAATCGTATATTAAAATAATAACCTACGATTACTGTTTTAACAGAAATCGCACAATTATGAAAATTATGACTTAAATAAATTGAAATTTTTTTTTGAATATCTTATATATTTGTTATTAAATATTTTGTCTATTGATAAAATGTTAAATTTGCATGTTATTCTTCAATACACTTTAATGATATTATGATTAGTTTTGTTTATATTTTTCATTCTGTCAAAATTTAAAGAGTAAAATTGGTTAAATTGTTTTAACCTTAATTGTTATTGAGTATTTGTTAATTGTTTATCGTCATGGAGCTTATTTAAATTGTTTTAAAAAATAATAGGTTTTATCAAATGTGTGTCCAATATATGTCTTTTATCGCATAAAACATAAGTCATAACACATCTAAATCCAATTATTCACGTTTATTTAAATTAAAATGTAGCCAACTTATTATTTATTGTGTTTGAAAGTTATCTGTTATTATGCTAAAGTTAGGGTGCTCCATTGCTATAATGTGGTGTTTTTAGAAATATTTTATGTTGGAGCCTTACAAAACGATTACATATGAATTTAAAAAAATATTCTAATTTTTGATAAGTTTATTTGTATTTTTTTTCATCTTGTTTGAGCAAAATGTTTGACTTGCATACCGTTATCCCAAATGACTTTTTCCCCATATTATAAACATATTTTTTAAATTATAAATAATGAGATTAATTTGGTCAAACTTAATTTTTAATTTTAATATTCAATAGTTGAAGTATATTGTTTATTATCGGGTTAATGAGAAATAATATTCCATAATAAAAGCCATCAAGATTGTAGTTTAATTTAAACGTACAATTATAATAAAGGTGGATTATCGCCATAATTACACAAAATTAAATTATAAGATAGTAATAAAAATAGTTGAGTAAAGCCTTTACTTAACAATTATCACAAATATTTTCGCATCATTTTGATTGCACAATTCTAGTATTTTTTAAAGTAATTATTAATTACTTACTACTTCATAGAAAAAACTTACTTATAGATTATAGTTATCTATACTTAATGAAATTAATTGGTGGAACGTATATTCAATTGTTATATGTTTTGATGGTTAAGGTAATTATTAAATATAACATATCATCATACAACTACCTAGGACCTATAGTTATAGGTTGCAATTTTGTTAACCAGTTATCATGGTAATATTATATATTAATTATTAATATAATAATATATTATTATTTTGTTAATGTATCTACTCGAGCGTTGCCTCTTATTTTTTGTTTTATATTTTCATGGTCTAAGCTATTGTTTTATCTATGTTTGAGTATTTATGTAGGTATATATTTTTTTAATACAGCATACCCACTTATATTTTATATAGTACTTAATAATAGATAGTGGCCATGTTTACATATCTATTAAAAATTATAACAAACAGTTGATATCCTCTACAATAAAAAAATCATTAATCGTTACCGAATACGTTATACTGCGGTCTTCAAGCGCACGGCAGTTGGCAATGCTCGTGAAATAATAGTAAGTCAAATTAAGTAACATCATGAAATTGTACAAAAAAAGAATACTCTAATATAATAGCTATTTTAATATGTATATTAATCATTGTTATTTACTTTACATTTTATAAAAAAAATAGCTGTATAACAATATTTATGATTTTTTTAAACACGGTTGAGAAATAAATTGTCAAATATAATCAATATTCGATATCGAACGCTTTATCTAATACTCTACTTTATATAAAAACATCAAATGTATTTTCAATTTTGTATTCTTATTCTAATTAATATTATGTTTGAATAATAACCTTAGAACGAATAATTCAATGAGGTGTATACGACAGTATAATTATTTATTTACAGTTAACACTTATTCGAACAACGCAATCTCTGGTTAGTTAAATGTTAATTGTATTTCCTTGAATCCAGACAGCATTATGTGCTCGATGTCCTATCATCGCACCAATATTCAATTTAATAATATATTAAATATGTTTTTGATTGTTAGGTATTATATTATTAATATCTGATTTGGATAGGTATGTGCCAGAATGGTTGATCAAAAAGGACAATCTGAAAGATGATTTTAAAATTAAGTGAACATTACTAGGACTGGTATAAGTCAGATATTTTATCATATTAAATTCAGATCTAATAACTATAATATAATACTGCTTAGAACGAACCAAGTAAAAACGCATTTGACTCAATACGTCTTCTAGAAGTTCAGATATAGTTTCCAATAATTTGTTATTTTAATTAACCACCTGTTATTTATTAGCATCGTATTTTTGTTTAAATTACATTGTTCGTTTAGCGATTTAAGTGGGTATACCTTTATAAATAATATATATTATGTATGTTATACAAATAATTATCTATCCATGTTGTATTGGTACACCTTATCCAAACCGCTTCAATAGAACCATATCCCACTTACACACATTGATATCATTGTAGTGCAATTACAATAAGATGATAAATAATATGATAATGCTATGATTTTGATGACAACACAATATAAATTATAATGATGTTCATTCCTAGTTCTTACTACTGATATCTGATACATCAGAAGTGTGAATTCAAATAATTGTATTTAATAATAATATATAATATACAAATGAAATATTTACATACTTTCTTTTTTTTACAACCCTTAGATCGGTTTGACATCTCTTAATCTAACAAACATACATAGTTATAATAAAGCAAATGAGTTAATTTCTATGTATTTACCTATCGATTATTAAATATCGATTATTATATTAAATTAAATATCATCAAAAAAAACTCCATCGAATAAAAAATCTGTTATACTTAAAGGGTATTTTTTACTTTATACAATTATTTCGTTTTTCATTTAAATAAATAATATCTAGGTATTATACTAGATACCTACTTTATTCCTCTCACACTTTTATTTATTGTCCGGTTTTGTATAGTTTTTTACGCATATAGATTAACAAATACCAAGGTTGAGCATTATCTTGTTTTATATTTAAGAATTGAATACGTTTATACTGCGTATGATGTATTGGGTTTATCTTTAATAGGTACATTATAGCACTAATTAGATAAATTTGATTTCAAGCCTTACAGAAAAAAAGATAGTCAATACTTTACTTATAGATAAAGACACCTAAGTCCTAACCGTTTTAAATATATGTCCCTAAAAATCAGTGTATTTATTTTCAAAATAATCTTAAACCTGTATAACTCGTTGTTCGTTTAAAATTTAAAAAACATGAACTTTGTCAAATTGGCTGATAAGTCGTAACTGTTATTAATTAACATTATATTATATTATGATACATTTTTGTGATTACATTGAGTTTAAAATGAATTCATTATAGTAGAGTATTTGAGTATATTTGTTATATAATGTTATTATGTTACTATTTATTATAAGTTAAGGTTGTACAGTGATATTCTAGATACAGTGGCATAATAAAGAGACAAGTGTTTTGTGAACTATGAAATATATAAAATAAAATAGTTTACTCTAAATAACGAATGTTTGCAAAATAAATATTATTACAATAAACAGTAGGTAGATATGCTTACCGTGATATACATTTTTATGATAACTTTTTTGTTCAATTATCATACCAAGGAGTTTATTTTTCTGTTGGCGCCGCCATAAAATATCTACAGGTGATGTCCACATGTAATCTTAATTACTTAATATTTTTATTATTATTTGTTGTTGAAACGTTTTAGTTTTTTTCTCTTTCATAATTTACAGTGCTCGAACGACTCGAGATGCGATCATGTTTACACGAAGCTTTTTTATAGACACTGAGTCAGCCGTACTTTTTATGATTTTAAGTTTCTTCATAGTGTACGTTTCTTTGTGGAACTACAGAACTGCGATTTGGCCACTTTATCATGACAAATAAGATACTATATTATATCATATTTTGATTCTTGTACAAAAATGTACATAAAACAACAAACAACAATGAAAATCATTATACGTATTTTTTTGTTTTATTTAATTTTAAATACTTCATTATTATGGAATAGTACATAATAATTATAATTATAATTCTTAACTAATATTAAAATATCACTGAAACTTAAATTTTTAGTTTTGATATTTATTTCTCAACCTGTATTGTGATTTATATCGTAATCGATTATGTGACTTAAGTCAAGAACAGCCAATGCACATAGGCCCTACTGACTTATTATTTGTGGTTTTTTATTAGCGTGAGGCCCTTTTTATAACATTATTGTAATGAGATACTATACTTAATCTTGTTTTCAGGACTTATTCTTTTTTTTTTTAAGACTTTTTTGAACACTTAATTTTGTAGAGGGTTAAACAGGAATGTTCAACTTTTGACCCTTTTTCTCTCATGTAACAGTAGCGTGTAATCACTACTTAAATAAACACATTTTACACCATTGTGAAATTAATACCTTCATAAGTTTCTGTTAAAATTGATTGAGAATGTTTGTTTCATATTATTAAATAGGAAAATACTAAATATTCAGAGTCAACGTCACTTTTTTTTAGTTATTGATTTTTAAAGACTTACACCAACAAAGTTCTTTATAGGAATATAATTGAAATCATTTTTTTTTCAATTTTAAAAACACTAATAACCCCATTTTGTTAAAAAAATGACTAAAATCATTTTTCTTAGAATATCTTTTATACATTTTAAAATCCATGCTGGAAGTGTCATATTATGTTTTTCTTGACTTAAGTCACAGAGTTATAATGAAAAACGTTAATTCTAATACGTCACGAGTGGATTTTCATATACTAATAGATATATTTTTTTAATATTTGTATCGTTTTTATTATTAAGTGTGCTGACATGGTTGAACTAGTTAGTCGAAATAACACCGAGGTAATACGTTCAACGATTAAACGCCTAAAGAAGCATATTATCATATTTGTCTTTACACTGCTTGTTGTAATATCGATTCTCAACTTATCCAAGCATCCTAATCAGATTTTGCCGTTAATATTTGTAACTATAGTATTATTTTCGGCTGTTTACTACACTACGGTTTTGATCTTGAAATTTGTTACCGCGTTCGCAGCTAACCAACTGGTGAGTACTTGTAGTGGACATTTAAACTTTTAAAGAACTGTACAAATACTTTATAAATAAGTCGTATCTTATATTATATGATGGGATGGTTCTATTTCGGTTCAATGTTAACTAAGGAGTAGGTTAAACAATTGTTCACGGGTGATAGGATTTGAAAAGTGAATAACATATAAATACTAAATCATGTTGTGAATATAACAACTGAATATGTTAGAAAATATATTACCGTCGTAATCGCTTGTTAATTCTGCAAGACTGTACTGTGAGTTTGGGAAACAAATAAAAATAAACAGTTCTGTAACTATTACAAATATTTTTCATTTTTCATTTTTAGTTTTGTTGGTCAACTTTTGAAACTTGTTATACGGTAATTTGCATAATATTTTGGTAAATATTAACGAGAATAGGTTATCGACCATAGATTTTTTACATTCAGTAAATCATTATCGTTTAAATGAAAATAAACAAAAAAACAAATATAAATAATTTATCAAATTAAATACTGTATCGTTTGTACAATAGTTCTGAACGCAAATATTATTATTCAACATAAAAATATAGATAATTTATGTTCGATTTGTTTGTTGTTGGTCGTGCAGGCAGAAGAGACAATGAATGCGGACAACGACCAAACGCTTAAAACGCCGGACCGTCCCTATCCCACTAGCCCCACTCCTCCACCGTCTTACGAAGAAGCCACAAAAAATGATAATGCCTACTATCAACCGCATCAACCCTTGCCTTCTACCAGCAGCCAAGCAACCGGTGGAATGCCATTCGTTTCCATTTTCAATCAGTCCAGAATAGTGCCGACTGGAGGCGACAGCGGTTCGACAAGCCAAGCAAACACTCAAAACAAAGGGATCGACAGTCAAACAACAAGTGTGACTAGAGGAGCGGTCCAGACCATACCTTGTGTCACAATCACCGCAGAAAACGATCAGCCTAGTACGTTAGAATTTTAACTCTGACATTGATGGTTTGTTAAGAACCAAAACAGTTTAAATATATTATACCTATGTAATAATTATAGTAATTGATATTGTTAGTTTAGCATTAGCTTAATATTGTTTTTTCTGGTTTCCTATTACCTGGTTGAACGTGATATTCACGTTTCGGATTCTTGCTGGTCGAGGTCATATCACAACTGATAACTAATGTAATGTCTTTACCTAATCTCGATTGAACATAATATTTGTAGTTAATATCGGTATATTTAGTACCAACATAGCACACATTAGAGCTGTCAATATTGTTATCGGGTAATGACTATCCGATAAACGTCTATGCGGTACCAGTTACGCTTAAATTTATAACCAGGATCATAACAAATGTCGGACCCATTGTAGGTACCCAAAATACAACGAATACCTGACATTCTTTTACTCGCTTATTTATTAGGTATGCAAAAATCATCAGCTCCGTATTAACTCTTAAGTCAATATAATTATTAGTATTAATGTTGTATTATTGTAAGAATGTAGAAATGTCAACTTCACTGTAAATTATATGTGTATTTCTCGACGATGTATAAATATATATCTGTGGCTCGGGTCTAAAATGGCCAATCTCACTTTTTGCAATTTTCGGAAAATGAGCTTTGAAGTTTTTATTTTCTATTAGACTCTATGTTAATTTTTTTACCAAACTCATCATAAGTAATTCATTTTTTTGGCCTCAGAGTGTGATTTTTTCACAGTATATAAAGGATGTTTCAATTTTTGAATTTAGCGGACTAACTCGTTTATGCCCAAAATTGACATTGGCCATTTTAGTTCCAAGCCACAGATATATATATATATATATATATATATATATATCTTAATCTTATTAAAAATTGAAACATCCTTTATATACTGTGAAAAAATCACACTCTGAGCCAAAAAATGACTTACTTATGAAGAGTTTGGTATATATTATATATATATATATATATATATATATATATATATATAATATTATAATGTATAATATTATAATATTTTATTATTGTACTTAATACACAGATATATTTTTTTTATTTCGTATTTCGTGTTGTGTGCGTGAAGTACACTTTAATCTTCGTCCATTACATGTCTCTCACGCATGATGCGTTTTATTCGTTCTAAGATGGTTTAAGAGCAAAAACACCAAATATGAAATCGAAAGAGGAAATATTTCGGCGGGAATATCGTATCTTTTTTTTTTTAATATACCATATAAAAAATCATTACTGTTTTAAAAAAATAGTAAAAATACTTTTTTTACATTAAACTTAATACTTGACATATTGAAAAACTGACACAACGTTTTCTCTGAAATGCCAATATATTTCGATCACATTTTGTAAAAGTGCATTTTATATAATAAGAACGTCCATGTTACAGATAATAATAGGTATATTTATTTTTAATCATATATATTTGAGTTAAATTTCACATGTTTATTTACAGTTAGCACTGTGCATATGGACTAAAAAATGTATTTTCTTTTAAAATGATTCATTGTTTTATTATTTTACTAAAAACAAAGATACATTTTTACTATTTATAATTTTAATGTTATTATTTTAAAGATATTATATTCATTTTAATTTAGATTTAAAGATATATATATATATACTTAATTTAAATCTTGTGCCGTGTGTCATTTCAAATTGTTACGGTGTTACCTACGCTACCTTCTTCCTTTTCAAGTTTACCTATCAAAAAATCACATATTTGTAAAATTTTCAGTACTAAAAATAATAAGGGCTGCGGGAAAAAAGATCAATGTCAATTTTTGTTCATTCTGGGAAAATCATGTTTTTAATTTCAAAACGTAATACATTTTGCCTGTATGCCTAAACTTTCGGCGGTCGTTACTCTCGACTTATCTTTTTTTTTCCTGGTTCGAGCGCATAAAAGATACAATACATCAATACAAATAATTTGATACCAAAATTTCATTTTCAAAAAAAATTGACATTGATATTTTTTCCCCGCAGCACTTCAATTATAAAGATCTTTACGCAGCGCTGTTTTTTATTAACAGTAAATAATCACATAACATATTATGTAAAAGGTGATTTTAAAATAATGCTTTTATTAAAACAAATATTATGGACACCGATCATATTATGAAAGTTATATTAATACAAATATGTATCGTGATACAAATTAGTAGTCATTTACCGTTAAATAAAGTATTATCACCACCAAAGTCATCTTCTAAAAAAGTAAAATTTGAGTTATTGTACGTTAAGCCAATTTAAGGATAAATTATTTCGAACATATTCAGTACTCTTGGCAGCTATAGCTTTAGCTAATTCAAACCAACTATAGGTATTATTCATTATATTATAAAGAATGGACTAACTGTAAATAATAATATACAGGATGATTCTTTTATCATAAACCAGTCAATATCTCACTGGATTTAATTCATGATTCAATTTTTTTTTTTATATAATGTTTTCATACAATATGATCTTAATTATTCACAATTTTTTATGTTTTCATCCCCCTTCTAACTTTTTTTGATAGCAACTTTTGAAACTTAGTTGTTATCAAAAACTAAGTTGGGAGGGGGGTAAAACAAAAAACATTTGAGATCACGTTTTATAAAAATATTATAAAAAAAAAATTATGAATTAAACTCAGTGAGATATTAACTGGTTCATGATAAAAGAATCACTCTGTATTGTATTTTAAATATCAAAGTTCTCTAGTTCTAGTTTTATCTCGTTAAAAATTGATTACTCACTAGCTTGTGTGATAATATGGCCAAATGAAAGTACACAAAATGCAATGCATATAAAATATAATGTTATATTGAATAATTTCATTGTGATTTTTTTCTAGAAATATAAATGTTTCAAACGTTTAGTTTATCAAATAGCATAGTTACTTAAACAACTATACATGGTGTTCCTGTACCGAACCATACTAATATATGGGTGAACATCAGTGAGGTATACAAATAAGCCTCTCGTCATCCGTTTTTGATTATCACAAAAATTGAAGACTTAACCTCTTAAGTCTAAAATTAATAAACTAAAAAAAAATTAAAAGTTATTTTCGTAACCGGTGCAAAATCCTCACCTTAAAAGAGGGGTCACTTTATTTTTTAAGTTTTTGAGGTTAAGGAGCCCAAAGGGGCTGAAAATGATGCGACCCCTCTTTTAAGGTGAGGATTTTGCACCGGTTACGAAAATAACTTTTAATTTTTTTTTAGTTTATTATTTTTAGACTTAAGAGGTTAAGTCTTCAGTTTTTGTGATAATCAAAAACGGATGACGAGAGGCTTATTTGTATACCTTACTGATGTTCACCCATATATTAGTATGGTTCGGTACCGGAACACCCTGTATAATTCATTGCCGTTTTTAGCATTCAAACTATGGCAGTATTTCTGCATTCCTACTAAAAAGGAGATGAATTTTAAGAAGTCGTTTATTATTTTTTATTAGTTCCTTTAATCACCGGAGATTTCTCTATGTTAAATATCAAACACTTTATTATGTATTTATATTTAATTACTGTTTTTTAAATCATAATAAATTATTACTATTACTGGAATTTTTTCTTCTAAATCGAAGTTCGAACTAATGATTTATGTTATTATTATAAATAATGTACATGGTAAAGTATAATATAATTTGTTATTAATGATTCATATTTTTAAAAACAAATTCTAAGTAAATATAAAATAATTTTTCGTAACGAACTCGTACAAAATATATTCAAACTTACCTGTTCAACTTGCACACAGTCAACCACTTGATGAAGATGATTACTCAAAAGTGATTTACAAAACGAAAAGTATATGTCGTTATAACTGTTTCTTGCAATTTTGTGTTTGTGAATTTGTGTGACGTGAATAACATATTAAACAACACTTGTTCAATTAAAGATTTATTACGCGTTTAGTAGTTTGCTTGAACTTTTATGAATTATAATAAATTATGGGATTTTGCAAATCTAAATTCACTTTTCGAATTTGAAATTGCAATTTTCATAAAGTAATATTTGAAAAAATTTATAAATTGTGCTGTGTTGAATTTATATTATATCATCTATTACTTTGCCCCTGTATTAACCTTTAAACACCAACAGCATTAAAAGGATTTTTCAAAACTGGTTATTGACCAGTCATTATTTTCATGAAATCATTCTGATTTTTTTAGATCAAATTTACAGGTTGCCATTTGACTTTTAAAAGTTACTCCATAAAACAATAATTTTAGCCCTACGCTTAGTACGGTTTATTGTCATTATTTTACTTCTTTATTTATTTTACTGTATATAGAAAAAAAAAATTTTAAAAAAAGATATGCTCTAAGTGTGATAGGTACAATCTTTATTGACATTAATGATGCCAAGCTGTCCAGCTAACATAAGTAGCCGCTAAGATACAGCCAACTGTTTATAGATTCCAGTATTGTTTTAAAAGTATTAACACTGCTGTAAATTGTAATATTCAAACAAAATAAAGTAAAGTTATGATGTCAATTAAAAATTTTCAAATCAATTAGCACAGACTTTTTTTATATAATATATCGATGGTATAAAATAATTCTATAATTCTATTTAGTAAGTATAATACTGTGTATTATACAACTTTATACCGTAGTATTTAACCGGCTAACATCTCTATGTATTCAGTATACACCAATATAATAATTATATGATAATTTATTTTGAAATGCTATGAGGATTGATTTTGAAGGAATTGTTTGTAATTTTTTGCCATTTTTGGAAACTCAAATAAAATTTGAGGTCTATGCAGATTATATGAAGTCTTCTTAATAAAATTTCAATCTTCTTCTCTAAAAAATATTATCCCATTCGTAGAATGTTCAATTTACATTCTACGAGGCAGGGGCGTATTTAGATATATTTTTATTTGGGGGGGGGGGGCTGAGGCACTTACTCCTAATAAAAATTTAACAATAAAGACGTCTACAATACACATCCTTTAGGTCCATAAGCAGACTAAAAAATTGTTTGGGGGGGGGGGCTGGAGCCCTCTAAGCCACCCACATAAATACGCGGTGTCGTCTTTTGGAACGTAAGGTGTATTTTGGGTAAAAAATCGTGTTTCGTTTGGATTCTATATAATGTGTGACCCCTCGTAAAAATAAATCCTAGTTGCGCAATTGAGTCTAGGTATCTACACTATTTAATTGTTTATTTCAAATATTTAATATTTCGAAAAATATTATTTTACTTTCAATTTTTGAGTTTGGATATTATGCATTAAAAACTAGATTATAGCCACATGTTGCTGTGGTGCACTTACAATATTATTTAGTAAAAATTGCGCATTTAGAACGTCAGACACAAAAATATGTAAATATTCAACAGGCAAACATGATTTTTATTCGTATAATTCCAATTGTTTAAACAACCACAACAATCATAAAAATCTATACCTCAAGGATTTTAGTATCCATAATTCATCTAAAATAATTAATTATATTTGACTAAGCTGTATGTTTTACACGTAAATCGTGTGAATTTGTCATTTATGTATCAACACAGTAAACCATAATGGTTTGGACTTTTTTTTTATACCTAAAATAAAGTAAACATAGTTAATCAATTTATACGCCATACTCACAATCAGTGCAAATACTGTAATTATACAATTTGGCAATAAAATTCAAAGGTGCACTCAGTATCTGTGACCAATTTTCTTATCGAAAAACCAGGCAAAAGTGGCCCCCTTATAAATTTAATAAGGCCTCATTTTTGTAAGTGCAACGTAGCTAGTATTACACAAAAAGCGTTGCGTCATTGCCCATCCTTGCCATTGAAAAAAATTAATACGCCAACCGCAGTGTTGTGTCTTTGTGTGTTTTTTAGGTAGAGTATTTGGAAAAATAGTCTAGTATTCATTATAACTAAAATATTAATTTCAAATACAAATTATTGTTATTAATTCGAAACCCATAAACTTACAATAAAAAAACTTACAATAAAATTATCTATAATGTGGAAAAAATAGTAGTTTAATATGGCTGATTAAATTACTGTATACAGTATACAACTAGATTGGTCCTTATTTTGGGTTAGGTGGGATTTCAATGTTACCCCTACTAAATTGGTTCAAAATGGCTAAAATAAAAGGCCACACGTGCAATATTGCACATATTTTTACCATACTATGGAGTTTTATTATAAGAATGTATTCGATGTACGATATACCATAGATTATACTATAGAAAAACGGTTTAAACTAACAACGGAATGTTCCTCCTGTCGTAAGAGGCGACTAAAGGAACCTAATGCAGGGTAGTAGCTGCATCAGTATCAGGCTAAGCCAGAAAATGAATGACATTGGGACGGCTTAGACTTAGAGAACCCAAGCAGAGCTGAGTACAGTGGTATGGTTGCATTACTGCGACGTGGAAGAAGATGGAAGACCCACCACATTATAAATAATTTCAAGTAAAAATCATCATGGCTAGAAATCTGAAGCAATGGTTTGATTGCAACAACAACCAAATATTCAGCACAGCCCAATATAAAATCCATATAGCTAGAATGATTTCCAGCCTCTGATAGGAGATGAATGTCAAGAAGAAGAAGGTTTGACATTTATATAAACGCAAATTATTTTCATTTTAAATAATTTATTACATTATATAGTTCTTCAGAAATGAAAACTACACTTTTATTATTATTTTAAATGTTTTTCTGTTAAGAAATTGGAAACCATAACGCCCGGATCCATTTCTGCCTACACATGGTACGACCATGCTCAGGTATTTGTTTTAACTGTCGCAGATTGACCAAATTTCTTATCCGGGTGTTTACCTAAACATAAACAAAAATATATTAGTGTTATATATCAAATCTTTATCGAAAACAATGTGTAATATATATTTATTATATAGAAATTAATAAACTTTGCACAAAACTGATGTTAGAATAATACCCCACATGTTTAAAGCCATATTTTTCCAATATGTTGTATTATAATGACCCAACTAATTGAAATATTGCATTTTTAGATAATTATTAACGAAATCAAAATGTTTGGTATATTTAAGTGCTTTATAAAAAAAAAAGATAGATTAACCCTATTAACAACTATTGAGTACAGGTAGAGTAGATGTAAGGGTTATGGTATAATAAATGTTATTAAACAATAAAAAAGTGATGTAATAAAAAAAAAAAATCCCGTTTTTATAATATTGTTCAGGGTGTAAGTAAATCAAGTTCGCAAATCAAATCTGCGCTTATTTTTAATGTGTATATTAAATATTTTATAATAGGTAAACTATTTATTAACTTACGGGAATGGGCTTCTGTGTTGACACTACCAAGTGCAAGGATGCATACTGCAATATATATCACACCTAATGCAATATTTATGAATTTCATTTTCTGATTTTCTAAAAAAAAAACAAATGTCCAGTTTGATAAATTTTTATGAAATCAAATACAACGTCGACGTTTTGCAGATTTTCTATTTTAAATATAATACTCTTTTTTTTCTATTGGTATAATATATTTAGTTAAGTAAAAGTAGATAAATATAGGGTGATGATTTTTCTAGTTCTCGTGGAATGGGAACGTCTTTCAATTGATTCGAAAGGAAAAAAAGGCCAACAAAAATGTCGATATTATCGTCCATTGTATAGACGATTTTTTACGAAAACTTGAATAATTAACCTAATGTTTGTTAACATATTTTAAATTAACAAAAGAAGTAGGCAAATATTTTTTTACATTTATTTAAACAGTTATAACGTGTATAGGCTCTATTTTTGTATAAATATTTATTTTTCTATTTCCAACAATCTAAGTTTTGAACTCCTGATCATTTCTTCTATGGTTTAGAGTATCGACTATTTATACTTATTATTTGTTTTCATGGAAAAATAGTTTTTGTAATCAATTTTTTTTTAAGTATTCTAAAACATTTGAAAATAATAACAGCTTAATGCCGATACTTCAAACCACAAAAAAACTGATGGAAAGTTTAAAACATTATTTTTAAAAATTGAAATTGGAAAAAATTGGATTGATTGAAATGCCAACGGTCTATGTACACCTATTTTTCTCATAGTCACGATGCCCTTTAATTTTGATGTTTAAAGTGGTTTTGAACAGTTAATATTTAAAAAAAATCTACATTTTCATAAGGCAATTTTTTTTTTTAATTTGGAGTGATATTGGATACAAAACTATTTATTTTATTACATTTACAAAAAATATCAAAACAACTTTTCTAAAGAGTACTTTTAAAATGATGACTGGTCAATAAGCTTTGAAGTTATAAATTATAATCTTTTAAGTGCGTAGAAAACTGTTATTTGTACTACATTTTTTTTATGCGCCATTAAATAAAATATTTTTGGTTTTCTTATAATAATGATTCATTTAGAAATAAACAAAGATTAAACATCTTAGTCAGTCTAAAAGATATGTGTAGAAGAACAATTCATAATAAAAAATAATTTGATTACCCAAAAAAAAAAACTGATAATCAAAATAGTTTGGGTGTCGATTAAAAAAACCAATATAATCTGTTTTTCTTACATATTATTATATTGAACTAGCACAAGATTTTTATTTTTATATTAATGGTATTTGAATTATTAGATTTTTGTCGAGTTTGTATTATCCCTATGTAATTGTTTGAAGTATCGAATTGTTTGATACCGAAGCTAAGTATAACTGTTAATGATCATAAACATTTAAAAAATAATTTTACTTACCTATTATTAACGTATTATCGTAAATGAGTGCTGTATTCAGTTTGAATTTTGAAACTAATTATGATTCGACCATACCGTGTGATTGTATATTTATAGCCAAAGCAATATAATTAAAAAGCTTTAATGTAAAACAGTAATTATTTATGAAACACTTGTTTAAATCACATAATGTGGCATTTTGTTAACACGGGGGCGTCAAAGCCCTTTACGGACTGCCGATAAATCAAAACGATTTTTAAATAATATTTTAATAGCTGTAGATTTTTCTATTTTAATTACAAATAATTAATTGAACCCATACAATTAAAAATTATGATATAAAATTCTAAGGAAATCAAATATTTTAATAAAAAAAAAATGTATATTCATATAGTGTGAATTGATGTTGTTTAATATGTCTGTGAATTTTTAACTCGTACTACTGTCTAAAGCCTTAATAAGAATATCTGTCCCAGCATTTATTAAGATACTGATAATATTAGGCAACTAAATTAACATTATAATATATTTACTGAAGTAACTAGGGATACCTACTTCTTTAAACAAAACAATTTTGTTTGTAAATATTGTCCATATTATATTTTTATTATACGTTTCACTAAACCCTAATTTGATTTATTTCGCCTTAAAACTACTTATAAACTATTTATTATAATGATAGTATTAATAAATAGATCTTTATTTATTATTTGGTTTTTGTTATTAGGGAGAAAAGGATGGAGCCGTGGATGGTATGGTTGCATCACTGCGATGTGAACGGAACACCCACCACATTATTAATGATTTCAAGTAAAAATCATCATGGTTAGAAATCTGAAGTAATGGTTTCATTGCAACAACAACCAAATATTCAAGGCAGCCCAATATAAAATCCTTATAGCCAGGATGATTTCCGACATGCGATAGGAGATGAATGTCAAGAAGAAGAAGATTTGACATTTATATAAACGCAAATTATTTCTATTTTAAATAATTTATTGTGTAATTTATAGTTCAAAAGAAATGAAAACTACATTTTTATTATTATTTTTATTTTTTTCTGTTATTAATTTGGAAACCATAATGCACGGATCCATTTCTGCCCACACATGGTACGACCAGGTCAGTAAACGTTATCAACTGTCGCAGATTGACCATTTTGCGGTCCCTGGAATGTACCTGGACCTAAACAAAAATATATTAGTGTTATATATCAAATCTTTATCGAAAACAATGTGTAATATATATTTATTATATAGAAATTAATAAACTTTGCACAAAACTGATGTTACAATAATACCCACATGTTAAAAATAAAATATTGATTTTTAATAAATACATTTTTTCTTCTAAAAACATAAATCGGGTTTAAGAAAACTATGGATGGAATATTATCATTAAAAAAAATGTCTTTTTTATTAAAAATGATTTGCACTTAAAAGAAATTAAAAACCATATTTTTCCAATATGTTGTATTATAATGACCCAACTAATTGAAATATTGCATTTTTATATTATTATTAACGAAATCAAAATGTTTGGTATATTTAAGTGCTTTATAAAAAAAAAAGATATATTAACCCTATTAACAACTACTGAGTACAGGTAGAGTAGATGTAAAGGTTATGGTATAATAAATGTTATTAAAAAATAAAAAGTGATATAATAAAAAAAAAAAATCGTTTTTATAATATTGTTTATGTACACCATAAACAATAGTAAGTAAATCAACTTCGCAAAACAAATATACGTTAATTTTGAATGTGTATATTAAATTTGTATAATAGTTAATCTATTTATTAACTTACCTGGATTTGCTTCTGTGTTGACATTACCAAATGCAAAGATGCACACTGCAATATATATCACACCTAATGCAATATTAACGAATTTCATTTTCTGCTTTTCTAAAAAACAAAAACAATTTTCCAGTTGATATATTTTTCTGAAATCATTTTTACAACGCCAAAGTTTTGCAGATTTTTCTATTTTATGTATTATCCTCCTTTTTTTTAAATTTTTTTTTATTAGTAATATATATTTAGTAGTTAAGTAGAAGTAGATAAATATAGGGTGATGATTTTTCTGGTTCTCGTGGAATGGGAACGTCTTTCAAGTGATTCGTAAGGAAAAAAGGCCAACAAAAATGTCGATATTATCGTTCATTGTATAGGGGATTTTTTACGAAAACTTGAATAATTAATCTATTGTTTGTTAACATATTTTAAATTAACAAAAGAAGTAGGCATATATTTTTATACATTTATTTAAACAGTTATAACGTGTATAGGCTCTATTTTTGTATAAATATTTATTTTTCTATTTCCAACAATCTAAGTTTTGAACTCCTGATCATTTCTTCTATGGTTTAGAGTATCGACTATTTATACTTATTATTTGTTTTCATGGAAAAATAGTTTTTGTAATCAATTTTTTTTTAAGTATTCTAAAACATTTGAAAATAATAACAGCTTAATGCCGATACTTCAAACCACAAAAAAGCTGATGGAAAGTTTAAAACATTATTTTTAAAAATTGAAATTGGAAAAAATTGGATTGATTGAAATGCCAACGGTCTATGTACACCTATTTTTCTCATAGTCACGATGCCCTTTAATTTTGATGTTTAAAGTGGTTTTGAACAGTTAATATTTAAAAAAAATCTACATTTTCATAAGGCAATTTTTTTTTTTAATTTGGAGTGATATTGGATACAAAACTATTTATTTTATTACATTTACAAAAAATATCAAAACAACTTTTCTAAAGAGTACTTTTAAAATGATGACTGGTCAATAAGCTTTGAAGTTATAAATTATAATCTTTTAAGTGCGTAGAAAACTGTTATTTGTACTACATTTTTTTTATGCGCCATTAAATAAAATATTTTTGGTTTTCTTATAATAATGATTCATTTAGAAATAAACAAAGATTAAACATCTTAGTCAGTCTAAAAGATATGTGTAGAAGAACAATTCATAATAAAAAATAATTTGATTACCCAAAAAAAAAAAACTGATAATCAAAATAGTTTGGGTGTCGATTAAAAAAACCAATATAATCTGTTTTTCTTACATATTATTATATTGAACTAGCACAAGATTTTTATTTTTATATTAATGGTTGTAGTGAACAATTTAACACAATTCAAGGGAAACTATCCCTCGGATATTAGTGTGAATTGTAAAATCCATAGTAATTTCATCTGTGGAAATTATGTTTTTCTTAAATAATAGAATAGCTTACAGACTATACAATATGACATCCCAAACTTTGTGATATGTCTTAGGAAAGTTGTTATTATTAATTTTTTTTTTACAAATATTTTTTTTGACTATAGACTTAATATTGGATAAAACTATTTATTTTATTACATTTACAAAATATATCAAAATAATTTTTTTAAAGAGTGTAGTTTTTTAAAATGACAAATGGTCAATAACTTTTGGAGCCATAAATTATAATCGTTTAAGTGTGTAGAAAACTGTTATTTGCAGTGCTTGACTTGAGAAAAAAGTAGTAGAGGTACTCTAGATACCTTTAAAAAAGTAGCGTCCCTAGCATTTTAATATCTCTTACATTACCACGGGGGACTTTGCCCCCCACACCCTTTACGGTCCCCTAAGCAGCATTAATATAAAACCATTATTAAACAAAACAGAATAATATAAAACTTGTTTAGGTATAACTTGTCCTTTTAAAACAATTACAAGCTCAATTTGATATAAATTAATCATTTTTCATTTTTTAAATCTTCATTTAAAAGATTCTACGGTACCATTGATTAATTGCAAATATAAATACAATTGTACCGGGTGATTACAAAAGAATAAGTTGGTTTCAAAAATCTGTATTTTCTTAATAGTACAGCTACAGAGCTGCTCGACCTCTTAAAATGACTGCTGTAACCTCAAGTTAGGTTAGGTTACCGCTAGGATAATTTGGGATGAACAAAATCCACACACAACCCTGGAACACTTAAGAGACTCGCCAAAAGTTAACGTTTTTTGCGGTATGGACCATTTTTTTGAAGCCACTGTTAAAGGAAACTCGTGCCGTTAAATGTTGTAAGATTGGCCATGTGATTTTTTTTTTTTTGTGGGGTTACGTCAAGGGAAATGTTTGTGCCGCCATTGCCTACGAACATTGAAGATTTGAAGCCACGCATAACTTTGGCTGTGCAGACAGTAACTACGGACATGCTCCACAGAGTGTGGGAGGAATTTGCATACCGACTTGACATTGTTTGGGTTACTCAAGGAGGACACATTGAACATTTATAATTTTTTTATTTTAAAAAAAAACTTGAGGTTTAGCAGTCATTTTAAGAGGTCGCGCAGCTCTGTACCTTTTAAAAAATACAGATATTTGAAACCAACTTATTCGTTTGTAATCACTCTGTGTTTAATCAATGACGGTACACCTCTAGACAGCGTATTTAAAGTTAAAACGATCAAACGGAGCGATTCGTTCCATCAAATCGCGGTAACGTTTCGCAACGAGACCAACAACATTGACGGGCACGAACGGGAAACGTTTTGCCGCCCCGTAGTCACTGATAAGTGATAATGAAATATTGATAGTAAAATAAAATATACGTATCAGATATGAGATATCAAAACATTTCGTAAGATTTATATATTTAACACAAAAATTTAATTTGAGCAACTTTATAAATATAGGTAAGACTAAATAACAACCCGTCCCATGCGTTCCCCTTTAAAAAAGAAGTAGGGGTACGCTAGAATATTCAAAAAATTAGTTGAGGTACTCAGTCCCCCTGCATTCCCCCCCTCCCAAAGTCAAGCACTGGTTATTTGTACTACATTTTTCTTATACGCCATTAAATAATAATTTATTAAGAAATAAAATTTTTTTTTATATTCCTGGTACTTTAATCATTAGATTTTTGTCGAGTTTGTATTATCCCTATGTAATTGTTTGAAGTATCGAATTGTTTCATTCCGAAGTTAAATATAACTAAAGTGCTTAAGTTTTTTCTAGACTAAATATAACTGTTAAACATAATATACGTTTTAATAATAAATTTACTTACCTACTATTAACGTGTAATTGTAAATGAGTGCTGTATTCAGTTTGAATTTTCAAAACTAATAATTCGACTAGCCTTATGATTGTATATTTATAGCCGCTGCAATCTAATTAAAAAGCTATAATGTAAAACAATAATTACTTATGAAACACTTGTTTAAATCACATAATGAAGCATTTTTTTTAAAACGGTGGCGTCAATGCCCTCTAATGACTGTCGATAAATCAAATCGATTTTTAAATTATATTTTAATAACTGTAGATTTTTCTATTTTAATTACAAATAATTAATTGAACCCATACAATTAAAAATTATAATATGAAATTCTAAGGAAATCAAATATTTTAATCAAAAATAAAAATATATACATATAGTGTGAATTAACATTGTTTAATAAGTTTGTTAATTTATCACTCGTACTACTGTTTTAAGCCTTAATTAGAACATCTGTCCCAGCATTTATTAAGATACTGATAATATTAGGCAACTAAATTAACATTATAATATATTTACTGAAGTAACTAGGGATACCTACTTCTTTAAACAAAACAATTTTGTTTGTAAATATTGTCCATATTATATTTTTATTATACGTTTCACTAAACCCTAATTTGATTTATTTCGCCTTAAAACTACTTATAAACTATTTATTATAATGATAGTATTAATAAATAGATCTTTATTTATTATTTGGTTTTTGTTATCAAGGAGAAATGGATGGAGCCTCGTTAAATGATCTAATTAAAATATTTATTAATTGAAAGAGGTGTTTCTACGGTTTGTATCAGCATTGATAATGATACGATGGTTATAAGGTAAAAGGGCGTAAACGCCAATTTCCAAATTTTTCAGGAGAGCCGATAAACCTAATATCCCACCAATTCTATGACGTGTACGACCTCATATTAAAACATTGTTTGTTGATTATAAACATATGGTATCGATATCTAAGTTGGACCAATCGATGTATAATTATGCCGCTTACGACCATACGCAAAAAAAAACGATTTTGAAAAAATTGTCGCTGACGCCCTTTTACCTTCCAACGATATGTCTATCAATATTATGATAATCAATAGTTACAGTTTCTTAAATTTATTTACTGTATAATGTGCTGGGTTTTCTGTTTTGTTTTACTGCATCTTTGCGGTCTGAAAGAACTAAATACTAGTGAGACCTACTTTTTCATACAAAACAATTTTGTTGGTAAATATTGTCTATATTTCTCCCCCTGAATTACGTTGTAATGATATTAATTTTTATTTTTAAACGACAACACATAACTTACAAATAACATTGTCAGCCAAATTGTTTCCTCAGAGTTTCTAAAGCATTTTTAGAAATATATTTCAAAACATTTTACAATTTTTTTATACACTCAACATTTTACATTAAAAAAAAAAAAAGACGCACAAAGTATAATCTTTCATCACAAAAGGTGAATTTTTTGGTATTAAATTTATTAATTAATACAAAATAATATTGAAAATATGGAAATCTGTGTACATAGATGACTTCATTACAATTTCAAGTATAATTCGAAAACTGAAATTGGATTACGTAGTCGGATAAACTGGTAAATACTAATGGTATACTATGAAGAAACTCGTATAGTATTTTGAGTATAAAAATACCAAGAGGAGACTCCTTTTCTTGGAAATAACATTTATGTTTAAATTGTCAAATCACTGTATATCACAACCAAAGGAAAAAAAATCATACAAATTACAAATCAAGTAAAACACTAAACCTTTTTTGTTTTAAAAAATTAGAAAAACAACTGTTATAACCAGTACTCGAGACGTAAGCATTCGATGTTTTTTTTGGTTTGACTTAGCAGAGTGCTATTTAAGTTTATATTACATTTACAACAATTTCATTTTATATGAAATTTAAAAATGCTGTCTTTGCTTATTTCGATGAATTTTGTTTTTGTTTTTTGTAAGTTATTTCTTTATTTTTGCATATTTTCTATGATTTTTTTCTCATTGTGTGCAATAGAACTAAAACTAAAAATAATTTCAACTCGTAATTTTTTTTCTTATCTACTCTTGGCGTTGATAGGCAATAAGAAATGCTCATTTTGGTCGATTATAAAAAATATAATCGGCATGGGCAAAAACATCTAGAATTTTACAATACAAGATGAAACTTATATTTCTGACGGGATATTTGATTCATTTTTGGAGTTAGTAGAAGATTTGCGATGTTAGAGATTACTTTTTTGCTTATTTTAATGTTTTTTAACTGCTTATTTTAATGATTTGATGTGCTTTAGCCCTGTCTTTAATATACAAGGTTAATCACATTGTATACTAAAACTACATATAAATTATAAAAGGTATTTTTGGAAATTTAAAATTTAATAGTTTTATAAAAATAATACAAATTAGAACAGACATTAGTAGTTTAAAATGGTAGTGATAATTTTTATTTAATACAAGCTATCCCGACCTGGCGTTTCCTGGGATTTAGTTTGCCAGGGCTGAGTAAAACAGAAAAAAACTGTTAAGCAAACTTATAGTTAAATATATAGTAAAGATATAAAATCTACTTGAACCCTAAACCATAAAAATTGTACACTTCTTGCGTACACGTGTTACGACAACGATGTTGTCATAACACGTGTACGCATGAAGTGTATGATTTTTATGGTTTAGGGTTCAAGTAGATTTTATATCTTTACTGAGTAAAATAATTACAAATCAGATAAAAAAAAATCAGTACTTCATGCTGTAAGGCTAAAGCACGGGGTATGCTCGGCTTTTTTACATTACATTATATTGATTACGTCCCCCTCTTACTCAAGGGTTCCGGTCCCAGTCTCAGTCCCAGATCCAGTTTTAATCGTGAAAAGCGTCCCCAGAATCGTTGTACACAAAATCGGCCTGTTCCTTTAATCATCACCTACCATTCGTTCGAGTACCGTCGTTACCATGGTTACAAACATTATTTTGGGTTAGCAACGAAAAATATTTCGTACTTAAAGTACAAAATTCGTGTTTGAAGGCACCTTTAGGGGTGAAATTTTCGAAAAGTACTATGCTAGTTATCTTCCCGGGAGTGTACTCAACAACTTCCAAAAGTTTCATGGCGATTGGATGAATGGTGTACTAATGCATAAAGGACAAACACACATACATTCATTTTAGCTTCGGTGTTTATATGATTTTTTTTTTTGTATCTGGACCCACGATATCTCGTAAACCGCTGAACCGATTTCTTCGTGTAGCAACTCTATAGATGAGAAATCATACTTAAAATGTACTTTATTAGGCCAAAAATGTAAAAAAGTCATCCCCATCAAATTCGAGAAAAACACCCAAAAAATGTACAAAAATTGTTCAACTTTAAATCACGATGCTCTATAAATTTTCTAAAAATAGTTGAAAAATTTCCAAATTTATATGAATTGTTTTTCAAACATAGTACTATCGATAAACATTAGCAAACCAAAAAAATATCATAAACCCTTTCCCCTAAAAGGAAGAGAATTTTTTTCTTTATTTCACTTTTTCAAGCAAAGTTTTAGAGATTTAAATCTGAAAATTAGACCGAAGGTAGATCTATAACGGAACTATAACATATACAATTTTCTCAAAAATCTGTAGTCAAATTTTAATTTAATTAGGAAAAACCCCAAAAATAGGGTAAAGTTACACTTTGGCCGTAGTCAGTTTCTAGGTTGCTATGTGTGAGTGAATAAACAGTCAACAGGTACTGCAAATATATTGTTAATTACGATATATGGGTAACTATGACAGTACATTTTTATAGACAGACGATCAACCCTTATCGTACCCACCCTGCACAAGACTAAATATTACATTTTAAGTACATTATTGCTGGTCCTAACTCCCATAATATCTTCTATACCGCTATAACTGGTTTGAACATACTATCTACAGATTCGCATCGAAGCGTTTTTTAAAAGTGATTTTATCACTTGCAGCTATAACAAAATCTATAGACCTGTGACCTCTCCGTCCATACTATACCCCGACCCTACTGTACTGGCTTTATATATATATATATATATATAGATATATAGATATGTGTTTATTTGTGTGAATACACTTCTGTGCACCCATTGTATTTATGGATACTTATGGACATGTTTTTTCAACTGTTTTAATTTTCAACCTCCCTCCTCAAATAAGAAGAAGGAATGGCGGACAATGACTGCTTCACAGTGCTTTGGAATATCCCTATATTTTTAATTTAATTTGTACTATGACGAGTTTAAATTATGAGCAAACAAATTATTATTGTAGAATAAAGTAAAATGAAATAATGGCCTTATATTATAATTAATTTAATAATTAATATAATTAATGTATTTGTTCCCCAGAGATGTGATTTATTTCAGTCAATAATAACTTTTAGTATTTACTTTTTATTATTAATTGCACTCTACGCGACTCAATACTTTTTGGTTGGGGGTAATTTAAAATAATGTTATGTTTTGAATTTTTTTTTTAGTTTTGCGTTAACAAATTGTACTTTTTTTCTTTTATACTACTTATAATGAAAAAAAAAATTATATAATACAAAAAAAAAAAAAATTAAAACAACTATAATTTTATGTATCAAAAACCGTTTATTATACACAATAAATCTTTATATAAATTATACAAATAATAGTATAGTATAATAATTTTAAATTAGATTATTAAATGAGTTTCGACAAATATGTTATATTCTTTGACAGGATTGATAAATGTATGTATTCAATAGGACCATTTGTTGTTTATGCCCAAATCATAAAATATCTAGATGTACTGACACACTTTTTTGATTATAATGTAACACTAAGTGAAATAAAAGTAAATAATTAATTATGGAGCAGTTAATGAATAAAATAATTATTAAGAATATATGTTTTTAAATGTTTAACACTAGTCCTATTTCGTAATATAATTTTATAACCGTTTATAACTTTTTAAACTTTTTACATTATAGTATAAGCACATATATATATATAATATATATGAATGGGTCATTTCAAAAATGACATTAGTCATTGCGTTTCTACAAAAATTACTTTTTTCAGGTTTATTACTTATATACGTTACATTATTTTGATAGTTACAATATGTACATGTTTATTTCATTAAAAACTTACCATTCGACGATAACCAATAAATATTTATGCTGAATTGAATTTCAAAACTACAAATAAGATGTAATTCAATCCGATGTACCGTGGTTCAGATTTATACCTATCCTTGTAATGTAATCTTATATGCTCTGACGGAAAGAAGAATTACGTACCTGGTACTGCCAAAGAATTGTTTAAATAAAAATAATTTCAAATGTACTACCTACAAACTATATTGGCTTTTAGTATAGTATTAACCTATAATGCATTTATTACTTAATAAAAAGACAGACTATATGTAAATAGTACTTGTTAGTCGATGTTCAAGTCTTCAAATCTAAACCGGTTAATAGTTTAAATATTAGGGCATCATTTTTTTACCTTAACACAACTATTTAGTTACGTCTACAGAAATATAGATACTCAAGTGACAATCTAATATTTTACAGTTTTCTCTACAGACCATTAAATTAATCTAAGTATTTGAATCTAAAATACATTTTTTACTTTAAAATTATTTATAGTAAAACTAGTAATGACTTACGAGCCTACAATCTAACGAAATGCTAAATTTATATAATAATTACATATTTTTTTGTATACATTTGAAATAAATTCAAGTATTAAAAACTTTTTATAATAAGGACGTGTTGTAAACCAGTAATTTTCTACAAACGTCGTTCTTTTAACAAATTCTTGGTTTTAAGCAGCCTTAATTAATGACTATAACCTGAAAATTATATTGGTTTTTTAATTATCCCTGTTGTTGACTGGTTTGATGCCTAATAACGATAGATAAACCTGACTAGTTTATACTGTTATAACTTTTCGTTTATTATTACTTAAAAAACCCGCTAGAAAACGTTTGTTAGAGTTAAAATCTTGTTTTATATTTAGTGAACTTCTTATTTCCTTTTCTGAATGTAGTATAATACCGGAACCACGTTGAAATCACTATGTGCTGATCTTTTACTGTTCCTGTTTTTTTTAAAGTAGGACTGTTTTTATTACCGTTTAAATTAAAAAGTGTTATAATAAAAACTATGATATTTAAATTTTCTAATTTGCCACTCTGTAGTTTTTGGATTTATTATTGAAAAGCAGAAAACAAAAGGGACAGTAAAGTTGTTTTGGAGTCTCTAGGATTAGGTTATAGATCAAACTAAAATTAGTATAGGTAAAATGTACCCATGCATTTTTCATGTGCAGAAATGCAACCAAATGTAATTTTGTTAGATAGAAAAGTATACCATATCATAAATTGTTCAAAAATCAATCAACATTTAGAAAATAGCACTAATTTAATTTTGGAAAATGCCAACCAGAGGTCCCTTTCCGTATTATGATTTTCTAAGCACTTAAGCACATCAGGAGTAATCAGCATATTAAGCATATCAATACAGCATATTTTATAATTATTTAACCGGTACGGTGTGGCGCAAGGCGCCTGAGGTTAAGCTGCGTCTGGTACCGCTTGATCCTGGACCAAGTTAGCTATAGTGCCTCTGTCCCGGTCAATAATGCCATACGAGTATTTTTTTATTTATTATTATTTAGATATAACTTTTAGAATAAAATTAAAACATATTTATTTTAATTCTGAAATTTAAAAACTAATAGCTTTATTATCGCATACGGCATAATATCAGACAGGCATTATTTCGCCAAATATCATATAATTATAGCCGTCAGTAAGTTCACACTTTTTAAGTGTAACAATATTTGATTTTAAATATTAAAAAAAAACCAAAATATGAAACAATTAGTATCTATATTTTGTAATTATTACAATTTAATACATGTTATAAAATAAAATAATATAATTTTTTAATGTAATATTATAAGTTATATAACAAACTAAAAACATCTATAAAAAATTTTTTTATAGTGGTTAAGTTGCATTATTTTAAATATAAAATATAAAACTACTGTGACAGACACCATTTTTAATTTTTACCTTAAGTAATTACTCTTTACTAAAGTATATTATTAATTATACTAAGTAATGTCTAGTAATATTGGTGCACACACAAAAAATAATGCTATGAAGTTCTATGTATGGACATTATCAGTATTTGCGCCATCTTTAATTGTGTAGATATAACATAATATAATAAAATAATGTCGAGCGGCGCCAAATTTCGGTCCAAATTTGTAGTCAGAATAAAAATTACCATCATCGAAAAAAAAAAAAACATGTCCGCGGGTAAAGTAGATTATTTCTTCTTAGTCATAATTTTGAATTTTAGAGTTAAGTTTAAAACCGAAATTAGTTAAAATACTTAACTAATAAATACCTTATTACCAAACATGAATTACGAATATTATACCTATGTTTATTTTATTAATGTTCTAACTGCAAACAGGTCTAAACGCATACATATGTTCAATATTTTGTGAAACTTGTTTAGTATTCTTACTTAAATTAGCTAAACATTACTTTAAAAAAACAACTATTCATTTACATTATATCATTTATTCGTTACAATTAACATATAGCACATTTCTTTATAAAGTACATCTTGTTTCTCATAATAACAGTATATTTTTTATACTAGAATAAAATTTAAACAGGAGCGGTAAAACCCCTCTCAATCGGATCTTCATCCTTCGACACAGCAGCTCCATTCACTAAATGTAAAATATAGTATTATTATTATTATTATTGTTTAGTTTATATAATTATGTTGACGACATAATATATTAAGTATTATTGAAAATTTGATATTAGTAAATAGTATAATACAACAGTTATGTAGTTATTTGTAAAGCATTTAATTCCCAATTTCGATGGCTAAAAAACCAAAATTTGTAAGGTCCGAACACTTGTTATATGTGTCCGCTTAATATTTACCTCACAATAAAATATTTATTGTTAGTCTCATTAATTTAGGAATTGTTACATAATGTGCACTAAAAACTCCACTATGCCCTAAAAACACAAAAATAGAGTTTAAAAAAAAAAAGGTTACAGTGGTATTTGACCTACAATATGCTAGCCAATGGAAAAGACGACTCAAAATTAATCCAATAGACTTATAAAATGATTTTAATAAAAATTGGACTTACAACTTTAACCTCTTAGCCATCGATTTTAATATCCGGTAATTATTTCTTTCTCTCTTAGTTTTAAAAATATAAAATGTTAGTTAAACTTAAATTCGGATGATAACATGCCTACTCGTATACTTCTCTAATATCAAAAATCAAAATTATATTTACAAATTTTTATTTACCTGTACTTAAAATATTTCCAATTAATGAAAGAATGGTTATTGCAATTGAAAAATAATATTGAGTATTCATTTTGATAAGACTAATATTTTTTATGGGTATAAGACTCTGGAAAAGAAGAAATACAATTAAAGGTATAAAGTTTACATAATATTTTATATTACATTATTAGATATATATATTCATCATCATTATATTCATTATCATTATATAAAATGTATATATAATTTTTTTGTTGAGTACACTCTTGTGACAGCTGCTAGTGCTTTATATGTTAATAGCTAATGATTGGGGTTCTGTTAGATTGTGACGATAGCGTTTTTGAGGAGGGGGATAAATATGACAAAATATGTGTTTCCCCTGGTTTTTAATGACTTAAATATATTCCTACTAGCGATTTTAATTTTTAAACTGCGGTTATATTTTATAATTTAATTATTTATTTTACATTGATCTCGTATGTAATCGAAATAATAAATAGAATACGTTTGTATTTGTTACTTATAAAAAGCCTTTATCGTTTTCCAAATTTTCAAGCTGCACGTATGGCGTTTAACAATTTTTATTCTTTTTTTTTTTAGCAAAATTATTTTGCCTAGTTCTAATATCCAATAATTTAATACTGACAAAATATTTAAACTAACAATGTGAACGCTAACCAGGTTTTCAATTCAGCAAGTGTTTCAAGGTAGCGTTGTTGTTTACAATATTTGCAGTAATAGTTTCGCATGGCGGAATCCACAACTTTGAAAACAAACGTCACTACATTACCATTAGTGGTTTTAAGAATTTGTATAACAATTTCTTGTCATTAAACACATTTCCATTATATTATGGTGTTTCATAATTAGAACCAATTTAGTAAACTAAAATAATGGACAAGTTACAGACTTGATACACTACATTTACTCTTTATATTGACATAATAGCTATCATTGTAATTCAAACATTATCATACATTATTCTAAGCGTAATCAAACTTAAAGTCCTGCGGAGTTTTTGTATAAACAATTGTAAAACATCTAGTTTGAGATCCAAGTAACTATTAAAGGTCCTATTTGTAAGATTAGGTAATTTTGGTCAATTTATTGACCTTCCTATCATCCTAAAGTCGTCATCTGGCCTAGATATATCTTTCCTTTAATTCTAAACCATTCTGGATTCGTGGTTCTAAAATATTTAGTTATATTCTTAACCTCTGCTTATATCCAATTAGTTTTATCTGTCTATTTTAAAAAGCATCTCTTGTGTATCTATATTATTATATCTTGTCTATATTGGCTTTGTCATAATGAAATTATCTAAAAATTAAACAATTTTTATTTTCTTACTATCATAAGCTACTTTTACTTTCTGAAATTGTTCGAAAAGGCTATTGCCCATTCAGCATTTAATTCTTCTTTGAGTTCCATTCTTCTAATCAAGAATTTTCTCTTTATTTTTTGTGAATAACGATTTTTTTTTTTTTTTTGAGTATTGAAGTATGACATTATAATTAAACGATTTTATAGTGCTGAACTATAATATTGTTTAATAATAAAAATAATTAAACACACATTTAATGAGAATTAAAAATGCTTCTCACTTTTGCAATATAGGTATAATATGTTAGTGTATAACTTATAAGCTTAGCTAAATCTATTTTGTGACTATTTGCCATTTGTTGGCACATTTATTAACCGTTTTACCTAAAGCTTCGACGGAACATACGCAAAATCTACTTGCTTAATCGAATTAATTAGTTCTACATTCTTATGTATACAAAGAGTATTGTTTTATTAATTTTACATACAAGTTTTATGAAATCCTATTATAAAATTCATTTAAAAGACTAATGACTGTTTCACAAGTTTAGCTTAAAAATTAGGTTTAGTCTAGAAATACTAAAATTATAGGTTAAACAATACTTAAATGTTACTGTTGTCTGTTGAGAATAACTATAATGTACGTTATAATAAACACAATACTTAAATGTTACCGTTGAGAATAACTATAATATACATTATAATAAAAATTAATTCATTAAGCATGTATTAAAAACTTACTTGGAGGAAGATTTTCATTTAATAGATTAAACTAGAAAAACTAAAGTCTTGTCAATGAAATTTACGTTTTTATGCAAAAAAACGGGATGTAAATCAAAACAAATAATTCTACACTTGTTTAAATTAATAAACAAAAAATAATATGAACTATGATGCAAAGCAGTTTCTAATAATTTTTTTATTTTTTATTTTTATTATTATTTAATGTTTATTTTGTTTTACAGCTATACGCAATTCAGTAGATGTTTTATACCGAATTATATACCTATTATTTTATGATCCGATAGGAAAACTAAAACAAAACTAATTTCCTAGCCTTATTACTTAAGTATTTGGTAAGTGACTTTTTAACATTTTGTTTTTATAAGTCAGTACGTGTAATTCAAGGCTTAGCTTTTGTGAATATTCACGTTTCCAATTTAAAAAACCAAAAACCGGAAAACAATACAGGAATAACTTTGCATGTTGAGGTCATTGGTTTGCTAGTATTTTACTTAGATTTTAAATTAAACTGAAAAATGGCGTATGAAATAATCATTATTAAAAGCTTAGATTCTATTCTGCGAATACAAAAAGTCCCTCAACTATTAACTAGCATCTAGTATTGACAAACAAAGTTAGTACATGGAGATGGTGGCAATATGGAGTGTGGACCTACCCAAGTCAGCAGAAAAATAAAATGTTATCAGAAAGTTATTAACATTTTAATCTTTTTTTATAATAGTCAGTAATTTAATGTTCTAAAAATATTATTCACAAAATTTTGTCGAAATATTATGTAAGTATTTTAATAAAAGGTATGAAAGTACATAATACGCAAATCCTATATACATAAACCTATGTAATGGTTCAAATCGAGGAGAAGGGTACAAAGCCCACGTTGGTCACCATTTGTAATAGTTTAGATCAAGGTGTGTGGGTAAATGGGGAATGATTATGGAAACTGAAGGAGCTACCCTACACTCTCCTAACCTCTTCAAAATTAAACCATTACGCTAAATATTATTGTGATGTGTGTGAAAATGTTATTGTGTACGTACCTCGTTTGTAGTGAAGCAACAATGTTGAAGCAGCAGCTTGTAGATTAAATTAATTTAATACTTAGATTTAATAATAAAATACACTTGCGTCTAATTTAAATCAGTCACCTATTTTAGGAACTGATATGATTTTCTAATGCGCGTACTTATAAATGATATGTCTATAGCTCACTCAGCGTATGATAATTATTTGCTTAAATGAAGTTGTTGTTTTTGTTTGTACTTTTTATACGCTTTTTACTTGGTGAGCCTCTACCATGCTACGTAATAACTAGTCAGAGGACTACACAAGTTCGTTCAGAAGTTCAGACTAACCAGGCCGCGATATTAAGAAGCAACCGATCTTAAGGGTCGATATTTAACCTCACTCAATAGCCGCTACTCTGATTGACTTCCCTTAGCTAAACACTAATTAATTAACTATTTAACTACTTAAATTTTCCAATTGCTGACTAGAACATCCAAGTTCCAAGTGAATATTTTAACTCAATGGAATTAGATCCCTAGAGCTGCTTTACGCTTCTCAAGAGAATTAAATGAACCAGGCCAGTCTCTCGGACTATGTTAAGATAGCTAAATTAATAGATGAATTATTAAATAGAATAACAAATGAAAACAATGTTTTGTTGTGCATAAGACTTTGAACATACGCTGAATCAGGCCATAAACAATTAAGTGGAAATTATCTGACCACACTCGCCATGCCTTATCAATTAATTAATTGAAAAGTTGCAGACGAGCGTGGCCAGACAACTCGGGCCACTGGAATCACGATGACTACTGCCTACTGGCTAAAAACTGGATCTACTGGCTGTACGGCAAACCTGTTGCTTGTCTTATATAGGGGTGGATGTGCGTCATCAGAGGGGGGAAGATATACAAATGTCCCCTCGTATGAAATCATCCATGCGTAAAGTCTGAGTTATCGTATCTAATGTGTCATTTTTATTTAAGATATCCGTTTATACTATTTATATAAATATTATACTAAAAATAATATATAAATAATTGATAATTGTGTGCGATATTAGTATTTGTTCATACAATTGATTATAGAATATATAACTTATGTTATGTAAAATGACATTATTTAATTGTGTGCAAGTATGTGGTTTTTAGTGCATACAATATAACCATTACTCCTACATAACCATATTATTTAGTAGGAATGCTTAAGGGGCCTCGCAATAGATACATCCTTAGTGGCGATTGTAAACTGCGCCCAAGGCACAGGTAAACACAAAATCATACATATAAACTGCACCCGAGTTTTTATCAAATGAATAAAGGTAACATGTAAACTGCGCCCGAGTTCTTATCAAGTGGAAAAAGGTGACATTTAAACTGCGCCCAAGTTCTTATCAAGTGGAGAAAGGCGACATGTAAACTGCAATAAAAATAACTTAGTTCGTTACAGTCATATAATATGTACATCGAATAAACAAAACTACAAATTATCTCTAGTTAATAATACGTCATTAATAATTTATCGTTAAAATTAGGACAAATAATAAAAAAGTATGTTTTTAAAAAAAAATTGTTTTATTTATTTGTTTATTTTTTTTAATTTATAGCCCTATTTATTAAAAGTACTTAATATTTGGTGAATAAATTACTAAATTAATTTTGCAAGATTTAAAAAATACCCTTACAAACGTACGTGCGTACGTGTTAGCGAGTTAAAGAAACACATGTAAAAAATAGTTAAACAAATTATTATAATACAAACAAAATTATTAGAAAAATTAGTCGATAAAACAAACCATAGAAGACATGATGAAGAATTCAACATTATTTCAGAATGGAAATCCGACTTCATAGGAACACAGCATGATGAAAATGCCATAAAAAAGCCTTTATAGAAGTTGAAAAATATTAGAAGAAAAAAAGTTAAATATGAAAATAGACTTATCGTTTCTGTGATTACATATATATATGTCTACAAATTTTAGCATAAATGTTAAGTTTTAGTGAAAAATTGCCTGTACAATGCCCCTTAATAAATTACAGTCGTGAGACACCTTAATAAATTGTTTATGTTTGAATTCATAAGTGTTAAATAAATCAAATAATATTTAATGTATAAAATATAAACAACACTTTTTAGGTCACCATATTTTGTAACTCCTTACATCATACCCGTAAATATAAAAATATGTAATTGTTAAACATTTAGACAAACGAAGTCTCCATGATAATATAAATTATTTGTTGATACAGTATAATAAAAAAAAAATTATATAATTTTAGTAACTGTTAGTATTGATAATGGTTACCTCAGACTTAAATAAAAAATAAAAATGAAAGTCAATGAGTGGTCGAGGGTAAAGGGTATATTCCTTTAGTCAATCGGTGCCTGAAGTGTAATTACCTAGTAATAAAAGATGTAAATTGTAATTATAAATGTAGTTGTTATAAAAAAAATGCATTGTATGAATACAATTTGCTTATAAAAATAAATTCTGATGTATAAATAGTTAAGAATACTTTATACCCCTGGTTAGAAAGCGTATAAACATGTCTACGAAGAAAGCATTTTACTCGTTCTATGTGTAGAGACTGGCGCCGTGCTTGTCTATGTGGGTTGTAGATCAAAACCACCTAATATAAAATCAACGAGGATGATATTTTGTAGGAGTTTTAGGCCTTTATGTATGAAAATTAGACTGTAAGTAGATCTAGTGTGAATCTATACATATACAATTTTCTCAAAAGTCTGTAGTCGTAATTTTTTTTTATTAAAGAAAAAACTAAAATAATGCGGGTAAAATTAAACTTCAACCTTAGTTAATTTCTGGGTTGCTGTGTTAGAGTGAATCAATAGTCAACAAGTATCAAAAAAGGATTTTCATTATGTTGTTATTTATGATTTATAGGTAACTACGGCGACAAATTATTAAAAACAGACGAGCAACCCTAATGGTATCCGTTTTAATATTAAAAATAAAATTTTAAGTTAATTATTGGCAATGCTTTTATACAAGGTGATTCATTAAGGATAATACACTTATTTTCTCTTACAATAATTGCAATTTTGTAGTTTTTATTTTTAGACATTCTGTAGTTTATATTAATGTACACTATTAGGAAATATTCAATTTAGTTTTTTCCATTGCGTTATGAACTTTTAAAACTTAAATGGGAACCTGTTACCTATATAATCAAATAACTTTTTAAAAAAGAACAATATTTGCTAAAAACGTTGGGTGGTCGATAGCCGGTTTTAATATACTACTTTTAAAGTCTAAAGGCTTAAAACTTAGGACGGGATTATTTTTATCTGCATATATACTGTACCGCACTCCATCTTCCGTTCTAAATTTTAAACTTCAACAACTTTAAAAGTATTTATTCAAAACTAGTTATCAATTAGTCAAACTTTTTAACAAAATGGTTTTAATTTATAAAGTTTTTTAAATATATACTTTATCATTTAAGTTACAAAAGTTGATAGGTCAAAATACCAAAAATACCAAAAAATAAATAAATATTTAATAATTTTGTAATGTTGTAACATAAATGTTACAAAATTAAAAACAAAAATGTTTTCAAAAAGAAAAACTATAAAATTATAATTTGTTTAGGAGAAAATGAATGTCTATCCTTAATGAATCACCTTATATTTGTCTACAGATAATCATCGAAGGGTTAATTTGAAAGTGATTTTATCACTTTTACTTAAAAAAATCCTATGTCCCGACCTCACTGCACTGACTTTTATTTAATTTAATTTTAAATGCTTGAACTCTAAAACAAAACGTGTTTTTTAGATTTATTTTGCTTTAATCCAAAACTATAATATGAAGAATGATTTACATTCAAATTTGTTTCATCCTTTATTAATAAATATAAGTCCACTTTGTAGAAATTAATTAACATCTCTATTTTCAGTTTTTTGAAGTTTTAAAAATCACATCTATTAAGTTAAACACTATTGTTGTTAAGCATTTTAGTCGAATTTCTCGCAAATATGTGCCTAATATGTAAAAGTCGATGAACCCATAAACACCTTACAGCTGTTAAAATGAATTCAAAGAAAAAATGCATCGAAGCTAAATAATGTACTGAACAAAAATGATAATACATTTTTCTCTTTGTGATCTTAGCTTTTCGTAATTCAAATGATCTAGGCTAATAAATTAGCATACCTACAAATATAATTTATATAAAATCAGAAGCTATAATTGTATAAATGCATAACAGTAGTATAGTTCATGTTGGATAATCAAAATACGGCATAATTTAGACATCTGAGCTGTTTAGGTTTTCATATTTTCATAATTCTTACTGTTTCTAAATTCTATAATCATTAGATTATATTGGAATGCATTTTAAACATAATTACATAATAGTTTAAAATTTGTAATTTTTGTAAATCGTACACCGATAAAATAGGTATACTATCTTGAACACAAATACAATAATAATTGTTGCAACCATTTTTCTCTGCTATTATTATGTACCTACATATTTTTTTGAAATATAAAAAAAATCCTACATATATAGTTATATAGACATTTGCAGTTCACTCATGTTTCTGATGTAACATTATAAAAAAAAAATCATTATATATTTTTTCGTTTTTAATGTTTACTCATTACCAACTGCTCGAACACGTAGGTGTTTAGGCGCTCATACCTGTATTATAATACATAATATGATGTATAAACCTTCTACATCAAATATTTTATATTATTCGGTACAATGAAACAAAAATAGGTCAAATAATTAGTCCGTTTCCAATTTCCTATCAAGGGATGGAAACTGATTTATATTTTCCTAACCTAACCTAACCTAACCGGTTTCCAAATTAAATTTACCTTATTATATTGGAGCGGAATGAGGGGGGTAGCTTAGACCCACTATTATATGAATTGGTAGATGTCAATATTACAGCTTATGTACAATTCATTACTAATTTGTATTTTAATAGTAAGTGTTATTGCTATAGATTTAATGAATATTCGCATTTATAATACATAGATATTAGATATTGTAGGTAAATTATAAACTATATTTATGTTACGCGTAGTTATATTATTAAGATTTCATATATACACGTATGCATATAGACAACTTTTAAAAATGTGTAACCAATTAACAAACAATTTATTGAATTAAATTAAATATATATTTTATAAGTTACGCATAAAATAAGAAATAACTTCTTTATTTAGACTATATTGTTACATTTCTAATTCATAGATATTAGATACTGATTTCGGTTTCGTTTTATTGAACCATTTTCTGTAATTATGATCCCTATCATTTTCTGTAATTATGGGGATAATAGGTGTTTCAGGTAAAAAATAATTGAAAAACCGAATTTTAAAAACTTGTTTGTAATTCTGTCCCTAACTACAATTTGTTATTAGGTACTTGCGCTAGGTTGAATATAGCAAAATATGTATCAAATTATTTGTATACAAATAACTGTGATAATCTCACAAAAAAAAATGACTAGTAAAGAATCTTCAATACTGTTAAAGTAATTATATACTATAGTTTAAACTCTCAAATTACGATTTTGCGAACAATTGCCAGTAATTTACTCATTAATAAATAGGCGAGCCGCGAATAGCGTCCTCTTATATGTATAAAAAAGAATACAATCCAAAAGTATGATAGAAGTTTAACAATTATGTATAAATTAAATATTAATTTTTTTTTTTGTAACTACTATGTGATGTGATAAACTGTTTGATTTCGAACAAGCCGAACTCGGGGTTTGCAGTTTGGTTTAAGATTTAGGGTTCGTTCGTTTATTTATAAACTCTAACTTGATTTTTAGTTTACCATCCATTACCACAAAAAAACTTTTTTATAGTTACATATAATTATTTATTATACAGATGGTTTGAAACGGTTATTATATTTAATATTGTGTTGTTTACAACAAAAACCATTTTTAAAATGTTGCAGTAGAAACTCAAATAATTTGTATGTACGTATGTAAACATTTTTTACGTCAATTGAACTACTAATATAATGACTCATTATCTATATGTTTACATATTAAAGCAAACTGTGTTTAAAGCAATAATCATAATTTGCGTCATTGTAATTCTCAAACGGTAAAACAAATAGAACCTTATAAAAAGGTGAGATTTTTCTCTATAATCTTTTAAGTGTTACCTATTTTATATCTTTTAACGCAATAACATGGTCGTCAATGATGAGTTTTAATTAATTAGCTTACACCATTATAACGCCGAAAAGTTGGGAAAGCAATATGGAAAATACTTTACCCATAAATATTTCTGAATTGCTATAAACATTTGGCATACAATACAGGATGCCCCCACACTGATTGAACAAATAAAATAACTTGATCTAGTGAATATTTTTAAGATTTTTTTTTTAAATTAATTTATTCTCATTGCGCTATAAGCACCACCTTTTTCATTTCCCTTAACTATTTTACTTTTTTTGTTTATTTAAACTTACTTAAATTTACTTAATTATTGTTTTTTTTTTTGTTACATTTTTTTTTTTTTTAATTCAAGATAACTATTTTATTTAGAATAATTTGCTGAAAATGTTGACTGGTCAATAACCAGATTTGGACAATTACTTTTTAAGTTACTAAAGTGTAGGATGAGGGGTGGAGTGCGGTAGAGTAATGCGCGCAGATAAAAATAGGTTTACGCGCTTACTCCATCACATTCGTGAAGAACTATTTGTTTTTCGTTTTTTTATTTGTTTATTAAAAAATATCAAATATAGATATAAAAAAAATTACCTCATAGGTAAAGTTCTTCTCTATACATTGTGAATATTTGGTAAATCTACTGTTAATACTTGCCCGCGCAAAGCAGTTTTAATGGGGCGAAAATTGCAATTTACCCTATAGAAATGACTGTTATAGTCTGACAAAAAAATAATTGTTTTAAATCATTTAATTAAAATCATTGTTTTCAATTTAGAGTCCTTAAATATAGGTTTAACTAAATTAGGGTCCTTAAGGCTATTGGGTACCGGCCAATTTTTAAGGAGTTTTGTATAGGCAATATTTAAGAAAATGTGGTTTTAATCAATTTCGATCATGTCAATTAATTTACCGGTTGATTTGTATAAGCTTCATGGTATTATTTTAATTTAAATCATTTTGTCTATGAGTAAAATCCATTTTAGTTAATTTAATATACATTTTTTGTTCCATCAGATCACTGGTTCAGCCTGTGCACCAGTTCACCGATGGTGGATGTCTATAAATAATTTGATGTGATATTAAAATCTAAAAAAATATGTTTATATTTATACATTTATTTACAGTTACAGTCCAAAATTCTTTAACAATACATTCATATAATTTCATATTATTATCATATACAATATGTTGGTTTCAGGTATAATTATGTATGTATAAATAATTTATATAATATATGTATATTAATATGAAAATACGTCATTAGATTCCGTTGGTTACCTTAAAAATTAAATACAATATTAAATTAGCATGTCAGTGGCAATAATGTCATTAACTGACTAGATAATACATTTCATTTTTAAAAATAGTTATAAACATCATGTTACAAATATTACAAGTCATAAATACATATAGATTAATTCATTAAATTAGGCTAAAATATAAATACATTTATTACAAATTAATCGGTCTTGGTTTATCTTACACGGAGAAAATTGAGTGTTCGATCTCACAGGGAAATATTATGACAGCAATTATCAAAACTTTAAGCGTGAGACTTGGAAACTAAATCACCATACTAGTCATCTAAACGGAATGATGAAAAGTAGTCGAGAAATAACTAATAAGTAACAATGTGAAAGTAAACTTATTATTATAAATAAACACAACCGACATGTGTTATGGCGCCCGAGTCAGGTCAGTCGGTCTGCGCGTTCAAAAAATTTAATAATACTACTATAAACATACATATGTACAAAAAACATTACATAAAAAATGGAGTGACTTGTGTTTGTGTGGAATACTTATGGATAGACGGCGATTTGTACAGAATAATAACAATTTTGATGCCTACTAATGTAAAATTATAAAGCAGCCGACCCGGCTAAATAGTAACTTATTGAGCAAAATATGTACATGTGTTTTTCTTTTTCATAAAAATATGAGTTTTAGTTGAAAGCTTTTGAGTCTTGGCTAAACGCACAATTCAGAAATACATACCATCTCTACAGGGTCATGGGGGTAATTGGGACGGTTATGTAAATGCTAATACCGTAGTGCAGTTGCTTTGTAGAGTTACTGTAATTTCTAATTGTGCAATACATTAACATGTTGTAATTTAAATCATTCAATTCCAATTAAACCATTTTCAATTATCAAACGTCACATTTGCATTCCGCCATTACAATTACAATTAATCCACTTGACTTGAACGGTTAACACTATACTTTTTAATTTACCTCAGGGGCACAAGTTTAATCGTTCGTTACCATTTTCTTTGTACCGGATAGTGTTTAAAGCCAATTTTCTTTGATCATATCCGAGGCCTTTTCGCCTATCATGTAAACCATTGAGTTGGTGTGACCCGCCGGAATGACCGGCATGATTGATGCATCGACCACTCGAAGGCCCTTGATGCCGCGAACGCGTAACTTAGGGTCTACGACGGCATCAGGGTCAGAGTCTGGGCCCATCTTGCACGTGCCCACCTGGTGATGTAAGTTGGTTGACACCAGGCCGGTAGCACACCACCAGTAAGCGTCTGAACCGAACTCCTCGTGCTCGCAACCTGGGAATGGTACCGGCAACAGTTTGGAACCGTACTTCTGGAAAGCGTTAGTCTCACTTACAGCGACGGCCTACGAACAAAAACGGTTTGTCAGTGACACATATCAAAATACAAAAATAAGCAAAATTTGATCGATATTCATAAACATATTGATTTTAGATTGCAATAAGGCATAAGGTATACACAAATTTACACATATTAACTCAACATTTATTTACACACAGGTGGTAACATCATTTCGTTTAACAAAACTTCATTTTAGGTTTAAAATGTATCTACAAGATGAGTCTAACAAAAATTATCTGACATAATATTTTATCTATAAATAATAATAAAAAAACAGATTATCACATTATTTACAATTGGTATACTTGTTGCACCCTCTCGACTTGATTTATATAATTTGATTGACTGAAATGAAATTTGAACTATCGTTTAACTATTACATGCAAATTGCAAATTACAATATATAAACTAAAGTTAAGACTAAAGTAAGTTAAAAACTAACATTAACTTTATTTGAGCTAAAAAATAACTTGGAATAAAATAAGAAAATTTCGCCTGTTCCAATTTTATTTTTGCTTTTCTATAAAATTTTTTAACTCAACAAATAAATAAGATAGGTAGTTCAAACGTTACTTAAGAAATTTGAACATTGAGTTTATAATTAAGTAATAAGCAAACAATGACTATTTGTATTTAACAATTAAGTATATATTTTAATTTATTGGTTTTAGAGCTGAATTTAATCAATAATGTTTCATGGAAGTTCACGAAGACAACCTTACGTAAGCAATCTTGAACATAGGTACCGAAAGAAGTCGTAGTATAAACTCGGTATTGCGAGATACAATTTTACATACCAATGTAGGTGTATTAAGTAAAAACTAACATGCTGTGCTCATCACGAATTACCTAGTTTTTAAAATTACGAAAACCGTCGAAGAGATATTATAAATGTTACAACGTTTCGACAGACATTTTTCTCTCTTGATTTAAATGAACACAATACAACAACATATATTATATAACGGTCGCCCACTTGAATATCGATTCGGGCGTTTAGGATATAAAATTACAACTGACAAAATCGCACTCAAGGCTGCCACCAGTATCATTACCATTCAAATTCAATATGTAGTAGTGTTCACGGTATTGGTCTGGGTTCGACTCGCATTTAAGATACAATTTATTTTTGATTTTAAAACATATTTTTATACACATTTCGAACATTTTAGGGTATTATGATATTAATATTTAATATACAGAACTTATACAAGACAGAACCCAGTTACCAAATGTCAAAATGTACCTAAAATAATCACTATCACATATTTTGATGTTAAACTAAATAATATTTGGTTAGGAATTATATGACGACAGTCGAAAGAGAACAGAGCGCTCCTTAAAAAATAATGGGAAATCTAAATTTAATTTCCTCCTTATTGCCATAACCGGTGTATTTTATTATGTATAATAATTAATGAATGACATAATGTGTTACTTTTATTACATGCGGTTTCAGATATCATGCTATACACTAAAACTAGTAAAACAAGTTCACTACAGTTTAGTCGTAGATTAAAAACAACATCATATACTTTATTCATGGTTTAGCTATTAAGATTGATTTTTTTCTATTGATAGCTTCCTTTGCATATTTTAAGCTTATTATAGTTATTAGTAGTAGTTATTATTTGTAGTTATTGTAGTGGTGCAATGTTATAGCTTTTACATAGATGACATTCTAGTTCAATTTCGTAATACAAAAATTAAATTACCTAATCGACATCCCAATGTGTTGCGAAGTAACAAGACGTATCTACGTATCATCTATCTATTATGATAATTTTTAGACAATACTACAACCGCGCATTGTCTAATCGATGATGTATAATAAGTATTTTTAGTTTAATGATTAGCTTTCAAATGTAGCTTTCAATTTTTAATTATTGCCACTTAACAATTAGTAATTGCGAACAAATATAAATTTTAGTGTTGAAAAGTCAATAACTGTTATATTTAAAAGCTAAGCTATTAACACAATAATAATCAAACTGCATATTAAGCGGATTTTCATTACTTAATATACCAGTAGATAGAACAATACCTAAGCGCTATTGTGTAACTATATTATTACATTATAACTTGTAGGCTTCACGCAATGTTAATTAAATACAAGTTAATTATAGGCTATCCGCTATAGCAGTACACTTATTTAATATTAGTACTATTACGATATCATGATCTTTCACACGTGTGTGAATTTTTTTGTATATAAATTTCAGTAGTACATTTTCTCTCTTATGGCCGTACTCGTTCGGGTAGGATTTTACACGATTGGTCATATTATTCACATACAGCCAGTTCAAGGTTGAAAATTAGACGTTCCACAGATGTCTTGTTGCCTTCGACTCGGAGGTGCGGTTAGAATGAAAAAAAAATGTTTCGATCCATAACTGCCTTTATGCGGTACCCTTAACCTTCTTATACATATATTATACCTTTACTATTATGTTATAACAGCAAAGAAAAAATGTCCATTGAAAAATTGTTTGTGGTCCATAGATATATAGCAAAAATGAGTTGGTACGAAAAATGATTAATGCCAATTTTTGCTTATACAACATCATCCTTATTTAGGATGTCATTTTTTGTGGATTATTGATTTAATCAACTATTGTGTAGAGAAAAAATGTTTTTTTTCACAAAATTGTTTTAATTTTTTATTTATTGAATATTGTTTTATATAATTTTATCACGTGAAGTAATTTTTTTTAGGAAAAATGCATAAATACAAAATGTTGACAACAAGATGGTAAAAAGTTTGTATATAGAGTAGTTGTCAGCTGTTATTACTTATTATAAAGAAAAACTGCTGCAACTACACATTCAATTATAATTGTTTTACCTTAATAGAAAAGTACTTACTACTTTTATAAAGATAATTTACCTTTATTTACCTACATCTAATTTCATAACACAGTATTACCCAGTTTATATTATTAACGTTAATGCTACGTGCTGACTATATTAGCACAATTGCTGTTCATAAAACTTAATTTAACTTACTGACAACATTCAATTTAGTCTACACTTTCATATTATAATGATAAGTTAAAATACCTAATGAACTAAATTAGAGGTTTTTCAAACGTACTACTTTTAAGGATAAATAGGTACAATTCTCCTAATAAATAAATAATTGTGCTCTCCCAGCAATTTAAAAAACACCACACTTAAAAATAAAACAATGAAAGTAAATAAACTCAAACCTCAGTGTCTTAATGAGTAATGAGACAGTTTATTAAAAACAAAATACAAACAACAACGAAATCTCTAATGACATAATAATATTATGCATGTACACATTGTAGAGCATACGAAATATTACTTTCAAAACAAATTATTATATTTAGTCATTAAAGGATATACCTATTTGTTATTTTTCTACCTTCAATCAAATGTTTTATTATTTCGTTTTATTGTGGCATTTATCTAAAAATACCTCATAAGTTTCGCGCCAATTATAAAATAATTACACTTCTTTCAATAGATCTTTTCAATGTTTTAGTTTCGAGGAGGTGTTGAGAAGTTATTGGTTTTACAATGTTTTTATTTTCTATTTTTCTATTTCTCTGCATATTTCACAATACATTTTTAACTATTGCACCAATTTTTTCCTACAAAAAGTTTTTTTAGGTTATAATTCTTACTCAAAAAGTATTTTATCAGGTAAAAATTTGAAAAAAGTTTACTCATCTATTCAAAATTGAAAAACACCCCAAAAAATGAAGACATTTTCGATGATATTTAGTATATCAAATATTTATAAACAGTGTCCCATGACTTAATTTACTTTTTAACGGAACAACTTGAATGAAAAACTTTTGAAAAATGTCTTAGTTTTAAAAAACAATAAATAAATATTTTACAAACATAACAAAACACTAGATCGCTAAACTGCATACACCAAATCATTTAACTAATATCTAATATTATTTGAATTTAGACAATTATTATGTAATGGTTTTATTGCATTATCAAACCTTACCTAGTATATATTTTACCGCCTATAATAGATTCTCGCATTGAAGCGTTTATTTGAAAGCGATTTCATAATTTTTGGTCATAATACGAGTAGATACTAAGATCATGTGACCTCTCTGACCCCAATATACATACTTGATTACCACTACGCCCTTACCCCTCTGTGCTGTGCCATTTATCTTATTAAAGTTCTTTGAAAAATATCGTATTTGCGTATACTAGGAAAGGCGAATGATAAAAAAATTGAAACCGACAACAACACCGGTTTTCGGCAGAGTTGTGGCGTTTCCACGGCATAATGGTATCACAGGCACCGGATACGGTTCTGCTTGTGTGTAGGTGTTGGCATAATAATATAGTCGAGGTAAATTTAATTATAACCATTACGACCGTGTCGTACTGACAATAATGACGATTATTTCTTAACTGATATTTTACCGTGCACACTACACGACCCGTGTAATGGCAAAGACCAGTAGTCGATATCCGATTAAACGAAAAATAAAAGTGAAGAACGATACGACCGACAGATTAACTACAGGTACTCAACACATGCCACATACATTATCCGCTTTATAGAGGATAATCCTATAATAATCACGAATGAAACACCCGCTTAAAGAAATCATACGGTTAACACAATTATTATCGTGTACTGTTCGAGTGGGCTACTTGCTCTTACTGATGCGACATTGAAATTTGAAATAAGATAAATACATCTTGATCCGTGCACGTGTAGAGTAATCGCCGGCTTATTAATTGCGTTACATATGCGCAAAAGCTTTGTTCAACACGTGCCTGTCGTTTATCGAACACTAATTAAAACATATCATTGGAATATTATTGTTTAAGTGTATTTTCATTTGTTGACTCGAAAACAACAAATCCATTCGGTATTCCGTGAACACGTGCTAACAATTTTTCCGCACGGGTTCCGCAGACCGTGTGATTTTTCACTATAAAATAGCTAATAGGCCGAATGTGCGGTTTTAGATTTGTCGCAATGACTGGAAAAGTCGTTGAACCGATGCGATGAGTGATAGTAAAATAATAGAACTATAATTACAGTGAAACGGGTAGACATTTTTTTGCGTCCTGTCCTTGAAAAATAAAAAGCCAATAAAATAATGTAACATGTCATGACCATTTACTACGATAACCAATACTACAATGAGTAGTACATAATCAAACATATTCATGACACTTTTCAGATCTCATAGTATTAGCATTTGTCTGTATAATGCCGACGCATTGTAATGGAACTTATATAATTTGTTAAACAAACAAAAGTGATGCTACACAGATCACAGCTCAAGTTATTTTAAATGAATCAGTCCAGATACAAATCACACTATAAAAACAACTGGACGGGAATATGATATCTTGTTGTTGAGTGAGAATGCAAGACTTAACAAAACACGTCTGTTTGAAGAGAACGTTATAATAAATGAACCTTGAAAGCCAAAGATTATCAAAACATTAAGGAGGCAAAATTTATAAATACGTTTTCAAGAGAAAAAGGTGTAAACTTTTTTAGTCATTCTAGGTAACAACGGGTTTATATAGATGACATATTCATGTATCAGTAAACAATTAATAATTACTTGTAAACAAATATAGTTTTTTTTATGGTTTTCTTGCCCGGCTGTTTAAATATAGTACCCATTTTTTTATGATAAATTGCGGCGAAATGTGTTTTTCCCGTTAAAGGTTTCAATTATACATATTTCGTTTAGACGAATGACGAAAATCGTATAAAATGTTAGCTGACGACCCTTTTAACGACTTCTAAACTAGGAGATAAGCACTAAAATCGATTCCGCCTTAACTCATGTTAAGAGTTCGATTTTCTTACGTTTAGATAATATAACTTATGCGATAGCGGTCGTCCAGTTATCCGTCTCGTCGCGATCTACCGATTAGTATGCAGCCTGCATGACGCATGCCTTCTGTATCATTCATATAGGATGGGTATGAAAACGATATTTGTGAAACGATGATTGTGTGCTTTTACAGTTTACTTGGTACAAATAGTGTAAAGCTTAAGTCGGAGGCAAGTACTGGGCGGCGAATCGGGTACAAGGCCACCGGGATTGGAACAGATCGTGAAAACGATAACGGGTGCACATCGGTGGTTATGTGATCGCCCGAGGGGACAACTGTAGTAATTGCGGGCCATCAGCAGTCGCCGAGTCAAGGTCGACCGGGTCATGTTTATTGTACAGAGAAGATGATACTTTTGCGGGCACAGACCCGTGGTGGACGCGAAGAATTCGTCTGCCGTAAGATGTAAATATTGAGCCGACGGTCATTAGCGGCTATGGCGAACCGGCCGAGCAAACCTGTTGCCGACCACTTTCCGATGCAATTTCGTAACCATAATATTAATAATAATAATAGAGATAAATATATATTACACATCGAGACGACTGCGGAGGAGACCAGGAGCAGTGCACCTCGGCGTGACCACTCGTGACCTCTACAGCAGTTGCGTCTCAAAAGAGATAAAACAGGTTGGCAGCGCGGTTTGTTTGTCTTAAGCGGCAAAGGCACTACTCGGCTGAGGAATATATATTACCCGTGTTATTTACCGTACACGAGCGACACGGGTCGTACATTATACGCTATTTAAACGGCATCGGCAATTGAAATGGGTTTGGTCGTCTAGGCGTATCCTATATGCAAGTAGGGGAAAATAATATGGGTACATCTGAGATAATCGATGACCAAGAGGATTCACGGTATTGAACAACGAACGAGAATCGACAACACGGGCGCGCAAAGCAAACATATTAAAGACGGGACAGAGTGAAAATGTCTTGAAAAAATATTAATTTATCGACTTTTAAAAATGCGTCGGCCAACAACGACCACACGGGCAGTGTGGACGTGATGCAATCGGTATTTTCAATTTCTTCACTTTGAGTCATTAAGAAAAAAAGTAATGGGTAGTGCTTATTATGATTAATCGTGTCTGACAAATTTTACACAATACCTATGGAAGAATACAAAAAAAGGTGTGCTATTTTGAAATAATTGCACCGATTTCGATTTCCAAAACACAATTTGTTAAACAAAATCAAAAATGTGAGGACACATCACATAGCGTTAAATTATTACTATAACTTAAGACTTTGGTCCAATCGTTTAAAATAATACATAAATATAATGGAAATTTTTAAATATTTCAACTGTGGTAACTTTAAAAAGTAAAATGGAAACAACAAATTATTTGTAAAACACATTTTCATTAATGTCATTAAATCTGAAATTTGCATGCAATTAGCAAATATTTAAACAAATTTTCAGATTTCTTTTTGGGTTTTTTATCTTTAAAACGATAAAAATTCAAAGAGCCAGAACCAGATCAAAAGCCTATTTAATGTGACTACGTTACGGGTTTAGAGTTAATAGAGTTAATCTCCAGTGAATTAAAACTACAAAGTTACTATAAGATTCTAAGCCCGCTCTGTGACCTTCCTAGTTACATTTACATCAGTCCCAGCAAAACGTCACACTGTTTTTTTTTGTTTAAAAATGAAACTTGTATTGAGTTACATATCATGTATCATCAAAAAGACTTATTAAATCGTGTAATGTATATTATGCTTGGTAGTACTTTTTACTAAGTAATTTGATTCGCATTGTTGAACTCAACGACGTAATCTCGTTTGATTTTGATAATTAAAACCGACTACCCACATTTGAAGAAAAAAGGTAGGTTAAATGCTGAATAAAGCATATATATGCTTCCCGTTGTTATATCCCGTTGGGTATATACCCAACGGGTATTATAAAGTTAATAGAGTTATACAATATAAACATAACACGCACAGTCAAAAACGAGAGTGCGTCCAGCGAACTAGAAATACCAGTATGATAATCATCAGACAAACAGTGAGCGCACCATATGTACACTCCACCGAGATAACAATCCGAATTGCCTACTAATCTTTAAGTGTTGATAATATTATGATTACGTTAAAATAACATAATATTGTTATTCGAGTACTGGACGAAGTACGTATAGAAGACGACGCTCGTAAACAGTTTAGTTTTCCAGGGCAAAAATAAAACCAACTATGATCGCCGTATAAGAGAACTGAAAACCGTACTTAAGCAATCACTGTACGGTGTAATAGATACTAGAGTAGTAAAACTCAATAACGCAACACGGCCAATAACAATTATTTTGTTTTTTTTTTATTTCACTTCGCCAGACGCAAAAACGTCTCTTCTGAAATCCATTAGTGCTTGTAACGCTTGTACTGCTCGCGTATAATATATAACCTAGCCTTGCATAACTTTGCGACGTTTATCTGTACCGAGTTTATTCGCTTATCGCAATGAAACCAAAACAGTAAAACGTGTCGAACCAATACTATAATATTAACCGATAATATGACTTTAACAACAAGTGTGTATTTGTAATTGTAAGCGGATACCTGTTTGATGCCTTCGATCAGCACTTTTCGGTCGACAGGGTCCGTCAAGTAACCGGCGTAGAACATCGGGAATTGGAACGGGTTGGCAGATCGTAGCTTAATACGGCCACGGCTTTTGGGCCGGAGCAATATAGGAACCAATCCCCAGGCGTCGCGACCACTGTAAGCGCCGTACACGCGTTCGAAAAACTCGTCATCCATGCCCAGCAATCGGTGCAGCGACCCGCCGGTGTCACCGGTGAGCGCCCCCGGTCCGAACACTAGTTCCATGTCCGGAACCGAAGCAGTGCTGTTGTCGGAGTAACGAGTGGTCGTAAAGGCGACGGCTTCGGCACCGCCCGGAATGGTATAAGGACCCATGCCGTCGATGGCGTACTGCAAGAAATACTTGGGGTGCCTATACCGACTCTCCACGATAGTCACCGTCTGGTTGACCAAAAACACTAGGCCGGCCATCGACACGTGATCCTGTAGGTTGTAGCCCACCTTCAGGTCTTTGATCACGGGAATGCCCATTTCGGTCAGGTGGTCGGCCGGACCGACGCCGGACAACATCAACAGTTGAGGCGTGTTCAACGCACCCGCGCTTAAAATCACCTCTTTGCGTGCGAAAACAGTCACAGTTCGTTTGTTCTTGACAAATTTGACCCCGTACGCCCTTTTGGTGTTCGGGTCGATAAGCACTTTGGTGACAAACGACTTTTTGGTTACAGTCAGGTTACGCCGCTTTCTGATGGGCCGCAAGAACGCTTTGGACGCACTGCACCTGGTGCCTCGGTCTGTGTTGGCCAACACGTACGAGAAACCCAACGGTTGGGGCCCATTGTGATCAACCGGGGCCTGGTAACCGAGTTCTCGGCCGGCCCGCAAAAACACAGGGCCCAACGGCGTCTTCCACGTGGGTTCCTGCACCTTTAAGTAGCCGCCGACGCCGTGGTATGGAGACGCGGCCAGCGGGGTCGTTTTACCAACGTCTTCGGACTTTTTGAAATAGGGCAAGACGTCCGCATAACTCCATCCGTGATTTCCAAGTCGCTCCCAGTTGTCGTAATCTTCGGATACGCCGCGCGTGTACACCATGTAGTTGATGACGCTAGTGCCACCCATGGCCTTACCTCGCGGCCACCGGCACCGCCGGTCTTTCATGGCACCGCATATGCCTTCTTGCGGCTCCGTCCGGTAACCCCAGTCGTAGCCGATGTCGAGCAGATAGCTGACCAGTAACGGCACGTCGGTCAGTTCGTTCTCTTCGCCACCAGCTTCCAACAGCAGAACCGTCCATCCTCGTACTTCAGTTAGCCGGTTGGCTACCACGGAACCTCCTGAACCGGCGCCCACCACGATGAAGTCGTACTGTCTTTCGAAGTACGCGGCATCCGGGACGGCGTCTACGGGCTCTGGTGCTATGGATCGGTAATATTTGAGTACGGCCGTGAATACGGTGTAAGCCATGCCGTGGCCCGGCTGGATGCTGAGCGTGAGCGCGAACACCGCTACCAGCCACAGTGTTCGGACGAGCGACATGATACTATTAATGTTATTTGAAAAAAGAACGCGCCGCGGTCGGACAGCCGAACCGCATGGAACCGGTTGCTGCGATAATCTGCGTCCAGCGAGCACGCGTCAGTTGCTTTTTTTCAAGGTCCTTTTCTACCACTTTTGCTATCACTACTACTACTCCTGCTGCTATTTCTATTGCAACTACTGTATTTAATACTAGCACCTGCTATACCTATATGGCGCGACGCGGCGGTTGTCCCCTTAAATCATTCGGTCGTACTATAATTGTGCATGCTTTTTTAATGTTAACACTTGACACAATATAACGAAAATATTAGGTCATATAATAATTATTATTACTACCAAAATGATGCGACATTTCAAGGTCGTTGAAAAAGAAGGACTTATTCCATTCCACTAGAGGCATACTAGCCACTTTATACTAGATTATATCAAGACTGTGGCATTAAGTTTAGGGTAAAAGAAATAAAAAATAGTATTTTATCCTTAATTGTTTTATTGTTTATTTGCCAATAAAATATGTTTCTTTCTTTAAATATTATAATACGTTGTATTAAAATTACCAATATCAAAAACATCGTAAAAAGGATTCAAAATATTATTTTCACTTTGTTTTTACTCTTCATATATTATATGCGTATTCTTAATTCATAAAATACTTACTCTTTAAAAGTTAAATGAATAAATCATTGTCGGATCGGATTATCATGTCGGATCTCGCGTCAAATTGATAATTTTAATTAAATTTTAACTAAAATGCATCAATTACGGTTCACTAAATGATGTACATAATGTACCTTCGTAAATATTTTATTATTTGTTTAACAATTATTGAGCGTTTGTGCTACACGGCAAACGAGTTTTTATATTAGTTGTATTTTAAACAATTTTTAATTGTAACGGATGTAAGAAAGAAAATGTAGCGATTAATCTTTCATAACCACTATACTTACTAACTCCTTATTTGAGATCATATTTTATATTATTTTCGGTACCTAAATAAAACAAATTGTTAATGATTAGATTTCAAATGTTGTACATATTCGGTATATGTTTCACAACAAACTATTTTAAATTTGTTTATAAGCCAATGTTATTGTAGAGCAATAATGTATGGTGTATGAAAACTTAATAAAAAAACAGCTGTTGATAATTATAAATATTCGATGTTTTAAAAAAATAATTATTTATTTTAAAAAGTTAAATAAAATTATTTTTTCGGAGTGAAACAATTTTTTTTCGTATCGGACTGATATTGATTATCAATATAGCTGTGTCGATTTTTTTATCATCAATCTATACTAGAACTTGTGTTTAAAGACATTTTTGATAACAATAGTACGTTGTTAATATTTTATTCGATTTTTAAAGTTAAATCTTCGTACAAGGATGTCAGTAACGAAAGGGTTAAAGTGTTTTTCAAACGAAAATGGTGTTGAATCGGAAACCTCCAAATTAGTAATAGTATCAAAACTAATAGAAGTACTTATGTATCTTACACATGTAACGATTTCGACTTAAATAAATTATAGTTTTAAATAACCATTGCACATATATAATTGAGCTAGAACAAAAAATCTAAAAACTGGTTTTTAATGTTGTGAAAACATTGTATCAAGACGAAAATATTAAATGCTCAATTTTTGTATAATCTCTTCTTCAGTATTATTTTGAAGACAATACTCAGTAAATGTTACTTAATGATTGTGTGCCTAGCTTTCGTAGACATTCATTCCAGATAATTATGTCTAAAGAGACTGAATTATTGTTATTGGAAATAAATACAATATTTTGCTCGAGAAGATCGTATTTGATTACACTATGCGCTCCGAGCTGTGCTTTCCAATGGCATTGAGACGATACGTTTTATAAGGTAAAAAAAGTACATCTATGGAAGTTTTCAAGGCGACGAAAGATGATGAAATTGTACACTTTGGGTAGAAATCCGTAAGGTCCATTCGGGTAAAATTCAGGTCACAGGTTATCGCCAGACTCATTACCATATAACAAGATGTTATTGGTTATTATAATATATTGGCTATAGTACATAAAATATTTGTGAAAGCAATTCCCAACTTTTGTAACGTACACAAAATCACATTATAACCTTTAAAGCAAAGAAACCAACGAATTTTACAACAAAATAACTTATAGGTGTACGCTACGCTTAAAGTAAAATTTTCGGCCTAGTTGTGTTGTAACAAAATAATTAAAAAAGCAACTTGAGAGAAAAAAAACAAGCGGTAGCCGAAAATTCGTTATAGCGTGTTCGCTCAAATGAATGTTTCACGTATGAGATTTTAGTAATTATGATACAATTGTTCGCGTTCATACATTATGTGCACCAAGACCAATCGGTTGTTAATGAGTAAAATTATATTATGAATTAAGCAAATCAGATAAGTAAGTTTCTTCTAAGATTTGGTGACATAATATATGGTATAGGTACTATGGATTTTATAGCCGTTTAACCTTTAAACTCTTCGTTAGGTGACTTAAATAGTGATCACGCCAAATGTTTTTCATTGATACATAAATCAGTTAAAACAATTCAAGAAACATGGTCTGATAAAATATTGAATATACCACTTCATTAGCTATCGTCGTAGTCGATTTCAATTAAATTTGATAATAAGACATTTAATTTTAATGCAGAGGGGGTATACAAAAATAATATAAACCAAATTATACATCTGAAATAATTTAGGGTCTTATTAAATATTAGTTAAAATTTATTTCGAGGTGTTTACTATCCCGACCTATCCCTGCGGTTGCAGTTTTACAACTTTATTAATTAACAGCTTTGCGTCGATGCAAAACTGCGTTGTGAAACGCCGTTTTGAGGTAGTTCTAAACTTAGCGCGTTGAGAACTATAATAGTGAGTTAATTTTTTATTTGACTTATTTCAATTTCAAAATGTTTCCGAAGACCGCAGGGGTGCGCGATCGATTCGAAGATTTCTAGTACCCGTCGATAGTGTTATGTAACGAGGTACTATTTTGTCTTTAAAATGCTTTCCGATCGTGTTTTATGTAATTGAAACAATAAAGCTCTATCAGACGTCCGCATTGTGTTCGGCGTAATTATAAAAACGAAAACGGATCCGCCGCGTTATCTTATGAACACTCGGTTGCATAAACATGTAGTGTTAGCCGTCTTAAGGTACAACGTACATCAAAACAATTAACAATTAATATATTGTACTATATACCGGCGGTTAGTGATAAGCAATGCGCTTAATTGTATGCACGGAAGACAAACGCACTGCGGGATATAAGTGTGGTCGACGTGATGGTCGACACGAGGTGCACGCGCATGCACGAGTATAGCCTACCAATGTCCTATTTTGCATATATACGTGTAAGTGATGTGCCTACACGATTTGTCACTATACCAAACGACATTTTCTTAGCTTTATCCGAATTGCCTAAGCAGAGTAAATGGTTGATGGCCTTTCTCGCTAGTTTTGGCTTACGCTTGCGGCTTGACATTTAAAGATGGTTTAACCTATTATTTTGGTATCATTTAACTACGCTTAGTTTTTGAGCTTAACTAACAAAAATACCTATTGGTACTATACAGTATACACGGATTATAACACGACTCAATCGTGTTGGATATTTGGACACAACATTAGCTAACAAACAACATTATACAACAAAATATGTAATAGATGCATACTACGTATATTAAACTAATAATAATGTGACTTGTGTTATTTTAACCGTTTCGAATTTCTGCACCACAGAGGTCAAATAACGCAACACAAAAAGGAAATGTTTGCAGGGGAGACAAAACAAAAATAATTACATCGTTTTAATGGTGAACTATCATAAATGAACGTTAGTTTACCACTTGTTATCTATGCATTTATGGAACATTGGACATAAGTTTAAATACCTTTAAAAAGATCATTAAATTAATATTTTTATTATGAACGTAACTCATTTTTTTAAATTTGGACTAGCGATACTTGACTTCTGTGGTACAGATTTGACATAGGTATTGTTCGTAAGCATCAACTGTTTTCGTAAACATAACAACATTCAAAATTTAACGATTTCGCACATAAATGAGTAATGACATCCTCATATTATTTTATTTCACGCCAAATAGAATTATTTTGTATGTCTTGAAATACGGAAGAATATTATAATTATGAATTTCAATTAAAATACTATTCTTAACAGAATATAAACTCAACGTCCTAACGTCTTAACCATAATAGTTATTATTCGATTTTTTACTCTTAACACTCAAAATATATCAACTTAAAAGTTAAAACTAAATTTTATTAATGTTTTCTTTAAAAGGTTTCCTATTTATTTATATTTTAATAGAAAATAAAAATAGTTTTTAGAAGAAATAAGAATTTTTTACAGATGTAAACTATATTGATTGCTCTTAAGAAAACTCTTTTACAATTAAAATTAACTTACATCTAACAAATATGTGCGGGGCTAAGTGGAATAAGGCCCAATAAGGATATTGGGAAAAAGAAAACAACTTTTGTGGTGTTGAACTCTGACCGAATTATTTTTTAATGTTAAAAGAAACCTGTTTTTATAATATTTGCAACAATATTATTTTTATACGTATAATTGCAAATATTTGCATATTTGTTTATGAATGTAAAAACAGAATATCATATTTATGCTAAATTAAAAAATTATTCTTTTTACTGTTTCTATACTGTATGCTACATTATAGAAGGATCTTAAAAATGTTAAAATAATATCTATAGTACACTACAGTACAATGAGTGAAGATAAATAAATAGTTGTTTGAGTATAAATATTAATTCCTGTGTGTGTAGGCGATTAACCAAGATACGAATTTTGACAATAATTCATGGGATCCTATATTTGTGGTGATATTATACCAATTTTGTATTTATAAAATAATATAATAATTAAATAACAAGAAAAACCTTTGCCATCGGTGGTGGTCACTAATTGCCTATAGTAACGTTAACATATTTTTATAAAACACCCTTTAAAATTATTATTTGCTTCTATAGTATGACCAAAGACAAAAACAACATAGGTACATCATTATAAAATCAATTGCATTTATATAGGTCAACGAAATAGGTATGACTAGGACGACTGAAATTACCTAACATTGCATATGGGTAGCTGTATTTTGTATTGTATTTTATTATTATATTATTT